TACCTTTGTTTCCATTGCTATAATTCTGTAATTGGACCCTTGAATTGAATTGAAATAAATATATCATTAGCTGTCATCTGCCGACATCTGTAACAGATATTGCGAAAATGATAACATAATTAGAAGTTAAATAGTTTATGATGCAGGTGTGTTGTTATCAAGAACTGGAAAATTCACCAGAGTAAAACAGAAATCAGATCGGTAGAAGCTGCCCCTATCGCTGTTGGTTGTGATGCAAAGTGAAGGTCAACATGAGCTACTGATGTGGTCAGTCGTGCCCTTGATGATGTCCAATCTTAGTTGGTAAATATTTTGGACATAGCATACATTTCTTTTTATTTCAACACAGGGTATCATCAGTATATATTATTATCTTCAATTAAAGAACTTCTGTACTTAGACAGGAACTATAACAAATTTTGCATGATTTTAATAAAAGAACAGAAAAAACTAGCTGCAGTAAATCAGTATTTGGGTTTCGTCTCTTAAGTTTTATTTTCAAATACTGATATAGTTAACAGTCAGTATTATATATAGTGGAAACAAATAAATAGTTCGGAACGAAGAGGTCACTAAATGTCACTAAATATTGATGTAAAGAGCCTTCGTTAACAACTAGAAGGGGACTGAAGGAAAATTAAAATTGGCTAGCGAGAGTTTTGACGTTGGCCCATTAATTGAATGATTTTCAAAAATAAGACACGGTTATAGCTGGTTATTTTCACGGCTCGAAATTTTCACGATTTACTTAAACAAAAGATCTATTTATATTTCAACAAATTAACAATTTCGTGATCTGAATTTGAAAGGACAAAGAATTCACAAGTGGGTAATTATTTTACGGATTACATATTCGTGATCTCATTAATGCACCACAAAAAGCGAAAATATTATCCTCAAGAAAATAATCGGCTATACGGTAAGTTCCTTCATGGGTTTCGTCTGTTTGACGTTTAGGAAGGTAGACAAGTGTGGAAATTAACATAAAATATTACAATGTTTTTTTATCTATTTTATCTTCAAAAACGGGTGGAGGAATGGGTTTTGTACATGGATCATGTGTTCATCACTTTGTTGTACTAAGAATTGGAGTAATATACTTGGATAGTAGCGATTGAGTAACTAAGTCAGAAATAAGATATTTTGTAAGGATAGCAATAACAAAGATTATGCACGTGACATGTGAAAACATTAACTTTGATAACAATTTATGCTTTGGGACTTGAAAACCACTTGGTACCAACAGACGGTCATTTTTTATTTTAACAGTGAAAGTTTGTTATCACTATTTCTAGAGAGGTACAGCATGGATTTTTTTTTCAAATTCTTAATGTCGATTTCATTTTTATTGTACCCTTGAAATTTTGGGACTTATAAAAAATACATAACGGCTGACAGGTGGCTATCTTAGACTATCAATTTGATCAATTGTTATAGCTGAATTCAGGAAGTACTGAATGGAAATTTCATATGTCGGTGTATCCCTTTGTCCTTAGTTGTGCCCTTTCAATTTTGAGTCTTTTACGAAAAAACGAAATGTCCGACAGAAAGCCATCTTGGATTATGACAATAAAAGTTTGTTACCAATATTTCTTGTGACGTACTGATGGATATGTCAATTTGATTTTGGGATATCAGAAAAAAAAACAAACAATACTGACAGGAGGCCATCTTGCATTTGATATTTGAAGATAACCGCTGCTTTTTCCTGGGGGAAATTCTCCAATTTCAAACAATAAAGAACAAATAAAAGGAAAGAAGAGAAAAGAAGGCAAAAAATCTAACTTTCAAGGAACACGTGAAGATCAAATAACAATGGTTGTCAAGATCCCTCTGGGATCTCTTGTTCAAATTTCTATCTTTTCACATTGCTTTAATGATAACAAATCAATTTATTTCTAGTTAATTAGCAATGAGTAATGAAATATCCATGTTTTTAAAAGATTGTTTTGGTGCATTTATAAGAGGCATAAAAGTAAGATCAATGTCTTTCATTCTCGTTAGCTGTTTCATAAACGTTACAAAACAAGTTTCTTTTTGTCACTAAAGTGAACAAAATCACAATGCAATCTTACGACAAAAAACCTGAAAATAAGGCACCGACGACAAACCGTTATACGTTTTATTGAAAATTATCCTAGAAAACCATAGCCCGTTTGATGAAAATTTATTCTTTTTAATAAAATTTTGAAACTTAGAGTTATCCTAAGATAACAACATTTTCACTACTTAATGTTACGAATGGAAAGAATTGTTTTGCGAAGACCTAACACATAACAATGGTTTCTGCAAAAGTTAAAGTAAATAATTCCTACCTGATTTAGTGTGTCCACCTTGAAGAACAAATATTAGTACTACCAGTCCGAGAAAGGTCGAAGCTACGTCCATTTTGTTTCAGGCACTTCAATATAGTGATGTAGTGTTTGGCTGAGAAAAAAATGTTATAAACTTCGACTCAGGAAAATCTGGTCCTTTTGAAGGCCATTAATCACACCCATACTGTTTAAATAGCTTATGAACGCCAACGGATAGTTCACATCACTCGTTATGGGGTACATTAGGGGAAACTTCTTTTAAAATGAATATAATTCGGGATAATTCGTAATAAAATTCGATATATTTTAATAAATATCGGAGAGATCAGTTTTAATGAAGTTATAAAAAGACTAAAATCATAGATCTGGTGTTGAATTATATTTTTAGATTTGATTCCCCTTAGGTTCTTTTCGTACGTTAGACAGTATAGGCCAATCAGAATACGTCATTTTCTTCCTATTAAGAATAACCTCTCTTCTATAGAGAGTGCATTGGCTTTTACTAATTAGATAAAAATAAATTGTTCCCCAACAGTCGCTTGCCCAGGAGTGGTTGCAGAATAGTAACTTTCATCTTTGATAATCAAATTTGTTGTATTAGGAGAAATTGGTTTAGTGTGTGAGTATTATGTGATCTAGGGATCTACACAGCAAGTAGATTCTATAACAATAAGAAGACACGGTCGTTTCCATTAGCGTTAATGCTTAAAAGAAATCCCTTGCATATTAAAGAGGATTAAACGGAGTCTTTCAATATCATCTCGTTTCGTCAGACATCTCTATTTTATTGGTTATTTGTCTAGTGTCTAGGACAGGTCTTACAATCATCAAAGGGGTATACCATTGACTATCATTCTAAAACACGTGTTAGAGTGTAATGTAATGTGCTAACATAAACCATAGCTAACTATATTCATAGTCTTTTCATTTTTCTTTCTTTTTTATTTTTTTTAAATTGTATTCACGTCATTCCGCTTGAAATCATACATTTTGCTTTTCTTCGAACCCCGGACAACTGGGTGAAAGGCGAGTGCGATATCACTGCACCACCCGACCACCAGGAATTCGAACCCCGGACACCTGGGTGAAAGGCGAGTGCGATACCACTGCACCACCCGACCACCAGGAAATCGAACCCCGGACACCTGGGTGAAAGGCGAGTGCGATACCACTGCACCATCCGACCACCCTACTATAGCTTCGTTCATTCTTTTCTTTAATTAATGCTTAAATTGTAATTATTTTATATCGACAGGTGAATAAATCCATCATCCAGCACCTGTAAACAACATGCAAAATTTGAAAATTATAGGAATCCGTCTTTATGAAACACAAACAGAAGTTATGTTCGATTATTTATTTACATGCGTGATAAAATCATTAAAGAATGACAAAGAAAATGACAACACAAGTAACATTAATGGGTCCACACGGGGAGTTTGAAATCAAATATCTTTTTCATTCATTATGAAAACACAAGTAACATTAATGGGTTCATCCGGGGAGCTTGAAATCAAATATCTTTTTCAGTCATAATGAAAACACAAATAATATTAATGGGACCACACAGGAAGTTCTAAACCAAATATCTTTTTCAGTCATTATGAAAACACAAGTAACATTAATGGGTCCACACGGGGAGTTTGAAATCAAATATCTTTTTCAGTCATTATGTAAACACAAGTAACATTAATGGGTTCACACGGGAAGTTTGAAATCAAATAACATTAATGGGACCGCACAGGAAGTTCTAAACCAAATATCTTTTTCATTCATTATGAAAACACAAGTAACATTAATGGGTTCACACGGGAAGTTTGAAATCAAATATCTTTATCAGTCATTGCGAATCTGTATTTCTCTATTTCGTGGTTTGATGAAACAACACATCGATCAAGAAAGAATGGACACAATATAATAACGCCAATCATGGACACGATATAATAATGCCAATCATATATGTAACAGACGCTCAAGCTTCATTTAAAATGACATAGCTCTATTATCACGTTTAAACATATTCATTGTCAAAATATAGACAAAGCATTCGGCACAAGTTATCAACGCCTTCTCCCAATATACATTTTAAATGACATTACAATCATGACAATACAAATATACAATTATTGTTACACACTGGCATCAAAATATCTTGCTGGATTTAATATGGCTTGCACAGATCTAAACCTGTTTCATGAAGGTCCATGATCATGTGTTGGTCAATATGACAAAGGCACGGCCAGATACATATTTACAGATTACAGGCGAGTTTAATTAAAATACCATATCAGCTATTTTACAAACAAGTTATGTTTTCCGAAGAAAAATATTAATTTACCGACACGTTAAATAAATGTTAGTAAAATTTAAACAAAAGATTTCAGTCATATGGAAACCTATATAAAATACAAGACATTTAACAAGTGTTTTGGAAAGGAAGAAGATTTCTCATTTAGATTACAATGGCACCTCCAACACTTCTCCATATTTTGCATCAAACTGCATCTCTCGAATTTGTTCAGAAGTCAGTGTTCCTTTTGTTCACTTAGTATTAACACTAATCTAAAAGCAGACAGTGCAAATACTGTGCCTACCTGTGTATGCTATAAAAAGCATGATCAGTGGATTAATTTATAATATACGACACAAGGGTGCTTGGGTAGTAGACGGTTGTAAACTTTTATTTTAATTAAATCTGATGGTTGGATATTGTGTCGGATTTACATAAAAGAGATTAATATCACGCATCTCGCTTGTCGTAAGAACATCAGTGAGGGCGACACATACCCTAAAGTACCCAGGATACATTATGGGAAACCTGACAGTATACAAGATTTCCCCTAGTACCTGCCGGCGGTTGATGTCGTTAAAGTGTAGACCTTGGCGACAACATTCTGCCTCGGACCACCTAATCACCGCCTCGTACACCCTACTCTCATTCACCGCCAGATGATCAGACTCCATGATACTCTTTACACATGTCCCACACAAATCAAGAAAACCACCAGTTCTCAGCGCTCCTTCTGATTTCCATATCAAGTTTAAGCAATTATTTATCAGACCATCTTCATTAAAATGGTGAGCATCTTCCAGTAATTGGCAAACGTTCTGAGTGTTAAGATAACACTTGAGGAAGGATTCGCACTTTCCGACAAGACGATCCACCATGTATTTCCTGGCGACATACAAAACGGAGGTGGCAGTATTAACCCGCAGGCTAATTCTGTCGGTATACAGGTACCTGGTGATAGAAACAAATACAAATTACTGTATATATCTATCATTGTCTCATCCGTAATAACAACAGTTAAGGTTAATTAAATTTTTATCTAGATCCCTTTTGGTTTACTCATTCGCCTCCTTGCAGAGATACTTTATGCCCTTAACATCACTAACGAGTCCTGGAAGAACGAAACAGTTGTATTATGTTATTCAATTCATTATTTTGCCATACGATATCAAATTCTAATAAAATCTGCAATAAACGGTGTTTCCACTTTTGTGTCTTTTGAATAAGAGAGGTTCAAGAATGCAACACTAGGTAAACTTTGGACGTAACAAAAGAGACGATTATAACTTTAAAACTGGCAATCACAATTTCCTCAATACAAAGAATTTGAATTTGGTTATGTTTTATATGGTGAAGCACATCAGATGTCAGAAGCTTTCCCAAATGAAAGAAACATAATGTTAATTTAAAAAAAAACTTGCGAGCTGTAGAATTGTGCATGTGCTTCTGAAGCTTAAAATTTCAAAAGGACAATATATATATATTTGAAACTGATATTTTTTCCCATTGATATATTGATAGAGAGATTTTTAACCTGGTCCATAACATATCATATTTAACTATATCAAGAATAATACTTCAACTGTGGAAAAGGCCTTTTCCTAACTAAACAGGTGTTGCCTGTAGATTTTCATTTTAAAGAAAATAGGACAAATGTTGCTCCGGTTGTTCATGCCGAGAGAAGTGCTCCTATACCACCATCTAGAGACTGCATAAGGTGGTCACAAGGCAGCATTTTCCACTGTTATTACTCCTCCTTCGTCCCGTCCTGTGCAACCTGTATCTTCAGGGAATGTAGGAGGGACGTTTCCTATCCTGTCAACCATTCAGGATTCCAAAGATGCACAGTAGTATATTCATAATTAATATTCTTATTCCCAACGCCAGGCTGATGTCCATGATTCAGATTCAATATAGTAATTACCAGAAACCTGTGCACAATTATTTCGCCAATCGTGCTTTGTGATTGATCCATCCCATCCATTTTTAGTTGCCAGTGCTGATGGCATTTGTAAATGTTCCTGCTGTGGTCAGAGAATTTTGGAAGTTAAATGCCCATTAACAGTTTGTAAGTTGTATGATTATGAGATTACCTATTGACAGCAAGTTCGCCCTGTGATTAATTTATTAAAAATGTACGCAGCTTGTAAAACATTTTATTGCATTACTTAGAACTCATTTGCAGACCCCTCCAGGAAATGGAACTTGTGCACCACAAAATTAACAAGCGACGTGATGTATCTCAGAACCAGAGTATGGTCGAATGGTTAAATGTGACAATGATTCATTTCAATAGAAGTGGTTTCACTATACGGGTGTAAACATTCGTCGCAAACCAAAATCAACTGGTTTAGTTACCGTTGTGAAGCCTGACATTAGATTAATGATTCTTTCTAAACATTCGGCCACTAACTCTGACACTTGTTGTGAAGGTTCCTAGAAAATACTCGAAAGAACTATGACACTTGTTGTGAAGGTTCCTAGTAAATACTCGAAAGAACTATGACACTTGTTGTGAAGGTTCCTAGTAAATACTCAAAAGAACTATGACACTTGTTGTGAAGGTTCCTGGTAAATACTCGAAACAACTATGACACTTGTTGTGAAGGTTCCTAGTAAATACTCGAAAGAACTATGACACTTGTTGTGAAGGTTCCCAGTAAATACTCAAAAGAACTATGACACTTGTTGTGAAGGTTCCCGGTAAATACTCGAAACAACTATGACACTTGTTGTGAAGGTTCCCGGTAAATACTCGAAAGAACTATGACACTTGTTGTGAAGGTTCCTAGTAAATACTCGAAAGAACTATGACACTTGTTGTGAAGGTTCCTAGTAAATACTCGAAAGAACTATGACACTTGTTGTGAAGGTTCCTAGTAAATACTCGAAAGAACTATGACACTTGTTGTGAAGGTTCCTAGTAAATACTCGAAAGAACTATGACACTTGTTGTGAAGGTTCCTGGTAAATACTCGAAAGAACTATGACACTTGTTGTGAAGGTTCCTGGTAAATACTCGAAAGAACTATGACACTTGTTGTGAAGGTTCCTGGTAAATACTCGAAAGAACTATGACACTTGTTGTGAAGGTTCCTGGTAAATACTCGAAAGAACTATGACACTTGTTGTGAAGGTTCCTGGTAAATACTCGAAAGAACTATGACACTTGTTGTGAAGGTTCCTGGTAAATACTCGAAAGAACTATGACACTTGTTGTGAAGGTTCCTGGTAAATACTCGAAAGAACTATGACACTTGTTGTGAAGGTTCCTGGTAAATACTCGAAAGAACTATGACACTTGTTGTGAAGGTTCCTGGTAAATACTCGAAAGAACTATGACACTTGTTGTGAAGGTTCCTGGTAAATCCTCGAAAGAACTATGACACTTGTTGTGAAGGTTCCTGGTAAATATCGAAAGAACTATGACACTTGTTGTGAAGGTTCCTGGTAAATACTCGAAAGAACTATGACACTTGTTGTGAAGGTTCCTGGTAAATACTCGAAAGAACTATGACACTTGTTGTGAAGGTTCCTAGTAAACACTCGAAAGAACTATGACACTTGTTATGAAGGTTCCTAGTAAACACTCAAAAGAACTATGACACTTGTTGTGAAGGTTCCTAGTAAATACTCAAAAGAACTATGACACTTGTTGTGAAGGTTCCTAGTAAATACTCAAAAGAACTATGACACTTGTTGTGAAGGTTCCTAGTAAATACTCAAAAGAATTTCAGGGTTCTAGTCATGTAAAAGTATCATAAGAATAGAAATTGCATGAAATCAACAAAAATCATTCCTGTTTAAACAGTTCATTTTATTTCGATATCGGTTATTCCTGTAATATAGAATACTGCAAATACTTCTTCTTAATGCGTTTATTATCTCTGGCTCTTGTCCGTAGTAAATTATATGTGTATAGTGCATGTAATCACAGGTCAGTTATACAATATTGTAACATTTCTTGAAGTAAATGTTAGACTGCATGTGTAATCACAGGTCAGTAATACAATATTGTAACATTTCTTTATGTAAATGTTAGGCTGCATGTGGATTCACAGGTAATGTGCAATTAAAGGTAAATTCATTTACTTGAAATGGTGATTTAATATCAATAAAAAATGATTACAAGAATTAATTACAATTAAATATATTTTGTAATAACTACAAGAGAACTTAAGATTTTGAAGTTTACTGTTGACTTTGAATGAGTATCAGGCACGACAAATCATCATTAACATACATATATACCGGAACAGGTAAATAAATGGTTTAACAAGAGGCACACGGGGCCGCCATCGCTCAGCTGACTAATTCAGCTATTCGATCATGCTTATTGGGTCCCAATCTTGCGATCAAACAGATTCACCATTCAGAAATATTGCTACAAACCAAACCTGACATTTCGACATAAGTAGGATTTCAAAGAAACAGCAAAATTGTCCCTTCGTTGTCCGTGTCTCAGGCTCCTGGGGACCGAGAAACAATATTTATACAAACTTGGTAACACTTTCCTAAAGGCCTCTTCTGTCCAAATTTGGACAAAATCCATCTATCCTACAGAAAGACGATTAAAAAAACTATTTCAACTTATTGGGTCCTAGCTCCAGGGGCCAAGACTTAAAGTTTATACAAAATCGATTCCCATCCATCCAGAAATGCTTCAGACCCTCTTCCCATAAATGTTCCAGACCAAATTTGGACAAAATTCCATCATTCCTATAGTGGTTGTTGGATTTTAACGAACTAGCAATTGTTTTCCTATTGCGCCCCGCCCCGATCCTTCCGACCAGGTGAGCTAAAATTTAGTACCAAATAAAAGATTATTTCAATAATCAAGAGTATATAGATTGTTCCGGTTTATACATGTTGAAATCGGCAAAATGGGTTATAACTTCACTGTTTAGATCAATGGTTTTGTATGTAAGGACTGTAATTCATACTGTACCTAAGAAATCTAATTATTTTTAGCAAGACAGTATATGTTAAATATGTGTATTATTTATATCTTATCTGCAGTCGTCCGCTTGAGATCTATTGTGACATTTTGTATTGCTAATTTCGGTGGTCAATTTCCTTAGTCGCAGTTATGATAAACTGTGTGCTTACATTTATTTCCGTTCTGCACCAAATGTCGGGTTTTTGACCTGAGAACTACAAACATTGATATTTGACGAAACAAGAGTCACTTACCCTGGTTTTATTCTCATTGTATTTTTCCAATTGTCTTCATAGAGTAAATGTCCATCTATTTATATTTTTTAATATTTCATCGATTTTTCATTTTGTGGAAAGGTGCTACATTTTCATGTAAACCTCTTTGTCATAGCGTGGAATTGATGCCAGCTTTGTCATAGCGTGGAATTGATGCCAGCTTTGTCATAGCGTGGAATTGATGCCAGCTTTGACATAGCGTGGAATTGATGCCAGCTTTGACATAGCGTGGAATTGATGCCAGCTTTGTCAGCTTTGACATAGCGTGGAATTGATGCCAGCTTTGTCATAGCGTGGAATTGATGCCAGCTTTGACATAGCGTGGAATTGATGCCAGCTTTGTCATAGCGTGGAATTGATGCCAACTTTGTCATAGCGTGGAATTGATGCCAGCGTTGTCATAGCGTGGAATTGATACCAGCTTTGTCATAGCGTGGAATTGATGCCAGCTTTGTCATAGCGTGGAGTTGATGCCAGCTTTGTCATAGCGTGGAATTGATGTCAGCTTGTAGTTCTACCAAACTTAAGTATACTTACGAACACTCCTAGCAGTACACCTAATCCAGTAGCAGTAGGGGCCTGTTAAGAAAATACAATTACTACCTCAAAAACTTTGTAAATATCTCTGATGAAATATCTGGAATGGTGATTGGCCCTGTCTCTGCTAGAGCTCCCTCCAGCAACGCGCCGAACACAGGACTTCGGCTGATAAGAATATATTTAAGAGCGGAAATATTTGTTTTGTTTTGGCCAACCAAAAATGTAACGTCAGTATTTATGCCGGAAGTGAGGAGATTTTCCAGACACCCGTTCAGTGACCTGGAAAACTGACCGTCATTTGATGATGCCATGTTTGTCTAACAATAAAAAAACAAATAATATTAAGCACATGTATCAGGCAAAGATGTATTCATTTAATGTAAATGCGGTAAATAGTAGGTTTATATTTCATTGCCATTGTATATAAAACGTGTTCATTTACTATTTAAAACCCCAGGCGTCGCTATAATATCGTATGGTACCACGAATCTCTCTTCTACATAGAGAATTTGAAACAGTAGCAAATCAACTAAACTAGGAAATTTGTTACAGAAAGTCGGTACAAAATAAGCATTTATTAAATTAAACATTACCTGCTTACGTATTTGTTGGTAAATACCAGTAATTAAAAGTAATTGCAAAGTATTAGTAATTTGACACGAAGTATGAAATAATTGATTTACTACATGATTAAGATAATTGTGAGTAAACAGAAGTAATTTTAAGTAATCGCAATGTATTAGTAATTTGACACAGAGTATAAAGTAATTAATTTACTACAGGTTTCGGTACTTGTGAGTAAATAGAAGTAATCGTACCACTCTTATAATAAAGGAAATGATGTTTTGGAAGAACTAATTTCTATTTCTTGGAAGCTTAATTAATTATCATCACTTTTCATATTTATATACAGTTGTATTTAATTTTTCTGCATTTACATTAAAGAAGTGAAAATAATAAACAAGTAACATAAAAACAAATGACTTACAATAAAGAACGTCGTACAGTGAAAGACAGTCGCTCGTCTAATATACATTTCATCTACACATTCACGAAAACAATCATTTCCCCTGTCCATCGAATGCTTCGAAATTCAGTTCAATTATGAAATCATATCAACAAATTCACATAGATTCAAATACATTTCATTTACTTTCACTGAACTGGAAGTGTAGGATTCAAAGTCGTTTTAGCTTTGGAATATGTGACTTGGTAACAGTAGTAATGACATATGGCCAAGCGGATGGTTTGGGTACTTTATGATCAGTCAGGCACTATGCATAGCGATTTCTTCATAATCGAATTAAACGGCTTGTTGCCAGACTGAACACCGTACACGTATTGGTGGAAAAGCTTGCACCAAAATAGAATGGCATACATTTCTTTCGCAGTTTGAGCGCAAGTGATCTCGATAGGTGTTTACAATTTCGAACTGAAGGTGACTAGTTTTCCTTTCTGTGATAGAGCTGCGCCTAGTCCGTATTTCAAAGAATCAACTTGAAGTGTCAAAGGCTCGTTCGGGCCTTATTGTGTCAAAATTGGATCTGAACTTCGCGTTATTAGGGTCTGAACCTTCTGAAATATATTGACGTAGAGTGCGTTCCAGACAAATTCTACGTCGTGTGCTTTTGGATAAATTCGGAGCGAATTTTGAGAGATAATAAATCATGCTGAGTATGGTTTCTAATTCAGCCTTGTCATGTGGAAGATCCATGTGTCATGATCTAGTTGGGTCATGTACGAGGACATCGTCCATGATCGCGGCAACATCGTTCAAACCTTCGAAGCTATCGTCGATTATTTCCTGAAATACGTCTTGTGCGGACCTAATACCAGTTCATCGTGGAAGGCGTAATTTCGGATAAAACCAAACCAAGTAATATTCCTACATGTAAGATCATGGTATCATGATACCATTACATAACTCATTAAACGTTCATGTTAGTTTCGCTGTAGGATAGTACGAAAGGATCGCGATAAGCGTCTGTCAAGCTCTTGATCTCCACTTTCGGTGGGTATTTACGATATGTTCTATAGCAAAATTAAACGACTTTGCAATGTCTTTGTGGCGGCATTTAGTGAGTTTTATGCAATGATGATTACCAGAAAAAATATCTGATATGTGCCCGGTGTATTTTTGTAAACATATGTTCAAAGTGATAACTTGAGCAATATGCACTAAAATCTCTGGTTTCTGTTGCTTCAAATGCCATTTTGGCACACAGCGCACATATTTCAGCAGCTGAATCTAATCCAGTATGTTTGGATGTTAAATTCAATCCTCAATAATGATTGAAAAATGAAAATATGGAAATATCAACAGGAGAAACAAACTTGAAATAAATGTGAAACTTTCCAAATGAGACATTTGGAATAGATATTTTTAAAATGGTTACAATAAAGCAATGAGCGATAAATTCTTACAAAATTGTAAAATCATGACGTCATCAGGAAATTTTCTGCAACGGTTATAAACCAAATTTCATTGGAGTTGATAAAGAACGCAGGAAGGAGATCTTCGTGCAAAAATCCTAAAGCATCAAGGGGAGATAACTCTGGCGATAATCCTGAATATCTGATATCTGAAGACATTAAATTGACAGATCACCAATGTTGCTTCCTTGAACAAAATGAAATAAAAGATGTTTCCAAAACAAACCATAATGGCCTCAATCAGTTATCATATGATTCATACGACTCAGATCATGAACACTGTATATACTACAACTCATGTTGTCGTAATCGTTTCAAGATCAACACATATGTTGTTTAATTAAATGTGACATTTAAATTACTCACCAGTCTGCACTGTTGAGAATATCGAACAATGTGTTTCAATTGCAGTATTGTAGAGCCGATATGAGAACGCAAGTAGTAATCTGAAAATGAAAGTGGAAAATCCTTATCATGAAGCACTCAAGGGGAACATTTATTTTGTTTTTTTTCCTGAATAATGATATCTGAAGACATCAAAATATACGAAAATAGCATTGAAGAACATTCCATAATACTATTCGGGAATGATATCTCAATTAACATTGGTTGGATAGGTGAGTGGTACTTTTATAAATCAGAACATTCAAAGAGGAGAAGGGGAGAATGGCATGCGTAGTTCAAAAGACTGCTAAATTCAGTTATACATTTCATTTAACGTATGTATCTTTCAGAAATTGGAATTAATTGTCGTCGCATCAAATTCGTATAAAATATTACTAAAATATAGATAAAAATGTACCCCCTCACTGTCGTGTACGTAGAACAATCAGTCTGAACAAGCTTTATCGCGGGAACAATCCATCATAATTATCAGAAAAGATCTCTTTGATATTACACAGTGTTATTTTTATGGATCGCCAAAGTTGCTTCCTTGAGAAAAATAAAATAAAATATGTGGTTTCCCGGCTTCAAAGCAAACCATAATGGCCGAAATCAGTCACTATACGAGACATACTATTTGATATCAGAACGACAACATATAACAGATAATTCTAATTACAGGGGTATTCGACCACAACATGAAACAACAAAACGACAAACTATATGACCACAAACAACATATAATTAAAACACCACATTCATTAATGTTGATCCTTAAGACACACAAGTCCGTTCTGTCTATAAAATACACATAAATCATTACCCAGATCTACACATGTACTATGTATATACTATAACTCATGTTGTCTTATTCGTTTCAAGATAAACACACGTCATTTAATTTATATGATATTTAAATTGCTGACCAGTCTACACTGTTGAGAATATAGAACAATTTGTTTCAGATGTATGAGAACGCAAGAAGGAAAACCCAACCTGAAAATGAAAGTGGAAAATCCTTATCTTGAAGTACTCAAGAGGTAGATTTTTTTTCCCTGAATGATATCTGAAGACATTAGATTAACAGATACGATATGAGAACGCAAGTAGGAAAACTCAATCTGAAAATGAAAGTGGAAAATTCTGATCTTGAGACACTCGAGGAGAAGATATTTCTTTTAAATAGTGATATCTGAAGACATTAAAATACACGAAAAAAGCATTATATAACATTCCATAACACTATTTGGCAATGCCATCTGAAATCGTTGTATCAAATTAATAAATTCCTATATTTCACTGACAAAAGTGTAATAAATGAACGTTATTATCTCATAAACTTTAACGTTGACTAGTAATCTCTGTACATGTTGAATGCTGTAGGATTTTCTTTCTATGTTACACCAATATTTATGTGTTAAGATGACAACAGGTGACAACGGAGGGGATTTTAACATTCTATAAACATATTTTTAATTTCCGTTGAAATGCCCCCTACATTGAAAAAAATTCACTGACCACTATTATCATATTTACTTATAAGATTACAAATGCACTCATATCTTTGATATTGTTAAGATACAACTGTCAGTATTATGCTTGTGTCAGAAGAACAAAGTTACAGATGAAAGAGAATATCTTTCATCCTGTTGTCTGCAAATTTTCATTTAACATGAACAACAATTTTGGATTATTATTACAAGAATTCCAATGCTCGTTTTCACCTTTCACATTGATGGTGATGTTATTGGGATCTCCACTGCAGAAAAATTACACATAAAGTTATAGGAATGAAAAAGATTCGGATTATGATGTTGTTACTCTCATACAATGTGTCTCGTCGCCGCCATCTTGAAATTCAACTCCGGACCACGTGCATGTCAGTGACATTTATGAAAATCATATAACCCACACCATGAACATGTAAATATTCCCGAGCAGACAGTGGAGACGTCGTTCCGTGCTGATTGAGGACCGCACAGTATCAATATACTATAAACAGATTATATGTCAAACAATGGAAAATACACGTAGTAACCAGAAGTTTTGTGAGTTTTCTATGAGGAAGATACAGGTTAAATTTGTGATCATACATTTTCAGACGAAAATCATTAATTATATCGGCTATTCCCGAATGTTAACCTGATGAGGAAAACATTTCATTAGGTGTGAAATCTTAACGTAATTTTAGTTTCATATTATATGAATTTTGTATAAATGAAAATATAAGCATTGACTGCTGTTATCAGATGGTAGTATACAGCCGATATTTATACAATTTGGGTTACAATTGTTAAAAATAATGACTTGCTTAAGTATAAATGGACCACTGATGTTAAATATTATATCATCAGCGACCAGGGTTTTTTATATCTCGCCAGCTGATTTACCATGGTGATTTAGCCTAGAGAGTGGTTTGACAAAGAACATATGGTCTCATTAATCTTCAATATTACTCAATGGTGTTTGTTTTGTTTTGTGTTTTGTGTGTGATTTTAGATCAAGTTTCATCGTCTATGCCATGTAGGTATTTTCTTCGTATTTTTACAATCTTCTTATACTACTGCATTGAAATATCTCGAGCTGTCACATATATTTTGCTATCTTTCTGGGATTATGGGCAAATATGAATACCATGTAATCAAAAGGCAGATTCAAATGTCATTTCACGGATTTGAAAAAAAAAGCGAAAAATAATTTGTTTCTGTTACAGCAGCAAATATATTTTATTATTAAAACAGGGCCAAAAAGTAGAAAAAAGGTTATTAAACCAATAATCTGTGCATGGTCTTCTTGCGCCTTGACGACGTTGGCCTTGCCCTTCTTTACAGTAAAACACGCTTAATTTGCATGATCGACCTCCCGCCTTCACGATATATTCATACCGCAACAAGATTATGGACTATTTGAAAGCTGTCGAACTATACCACATGGTAACATCCTCAAGTTAAATTCTAAATGTAAACAACAAACTATTGTTTGCTGCAGTTTCTTTATGTACTTTTTCGCTAAGCTTCTGTTGTACCTTTCTGGCGTAATAATCAGACAGTATCATCGCCATTACTGGTATTTATAGGTATTGAAACAACACAAGTTCAATTACAATTTCAATATTTCAGGAAATTGTCTGAAGTTTCAAAACCATGCTACTGGAGTCAATGGTCTTTTTTAGAGTGATAACAACAGTCCTGGTATTTGTCCTCGTGAAGTGTTTGTACACACACAGGGATATAACGTGCTATTTGAAAACGTGATGAGGGCGTTCTGATACTCAACCCTTGACTTTCCATCCAGTCCGTACGCTGTGGCGTGTATACCACCATGAATCACCACGTCAATGGTTTCCCCATGATCAACACTGATGACGTCATCAAATACCACTTTACAGTACGTACTGCGGGTGATCTCATGGCTACCTCTATATACTGTATTCCCGCCCTCCCTGTAAACACCTATAGTGATTTTCTCACTTCCCTCGTGTGCCCCGTACGTAAGAAGTCCATGGAAGTATACGTGTTCACTTGATTTGAAGGAAATGGAATCACTTCCGCTTCTAGAATTCCATATGTACCTTCTAGCTCGCCGTGTTCGAGAAAATCGGGAAATGGAATCAAACTGGCCTCGTTTTGGTTTCGGCTTATGTCTTCTCTTTATATTAAAGTTATGCGAGTTGAACATATCATTTTTCCCGATCCTGTAGATTCTTGAAATTTCTTCGCTCGTTAAAATATCTCTGAATGAAATCTCCCGTGCAAAATACGTTGCATCCATGAGAGGAAACCTAACAGTATATAGGATGTCCCCCAGCACATCTCGCCGATTGTTGTCGTTCAACTGTAGACCTTGGCGACAACTTTCTGCCTCGGACCACCTAATCAACGCCTCGTACACCGTGCTCTCATTCACCGCCAGATTATCAGACTCCGTGATACTCTTCACACATGCATCACTTAATTCTAAAAAACCGGAAGTTTGTAATACTTTTTCTCTTGAATCATGAATAAAACGAAGACAATCTGTTTCCAACTTTTCTTCCATAAACATATAAGATTGCTCTAACAGCAGACACGCATTTTCTACTGAAATATTGGACTTTAGGAACTCCTCGCATATCTTCACAAGTTGATCTACACAGTATTTCCGAGCGGCCGATAGGACTGACATCACAGTGGTTACTGTTAGCTGGATTTCGTCAGTATAAAGATACCTGTAAACCAAATTCAGTGTTACTGACACGAATTACTCAGTGAGTTTAGGACATAACTTACGACATGCGATCTATAATTTTTTTTTTTTTTTTTTGGGGGGGGGATATTTTGGTCTGCATTTAATATTTAATATCTATTGAAAGTACATTTAAAACTTAAATTGTTAAACTTGGTCTAACTCGAGCCATAAATCATCTCAGAACCAATTCCTAAAATTGTTTTCAGAGCTGTTTGAAATATGGGATATCATCTTCATTGTTGTATCTTTGATTTGTTTTCCTTTAAGGTATAGACACATCAATTTCTTATCTACCATGTATTTTCATGTTTTAGTAAACTGCATAGAGTTAATAGCCTGTAATATATTCAAACCTCAGAATAGAGAAATGATGAGGATTACATAACAGGACTGAGCTACATGATCTACAAAATTATCAAAGGTACGTACCCTAATAAAAGTGAAAACGATTTCTTTGAAATATCCGGAATAATTATCTCCCCTTTCTCTGCAAGACTGCCTTCCAACATGGCATAAAATACAGGGCTCCTGCATACAAGAATTGTTCTATGAGCAGAAATCCGAGTTCTGCATTCTCCAACGATGAATGTAACGTCACATGCGAGACCGGAAGTAAACAAATATTCGAGGCATTGAACCAATGATTTGTTACATTGCCAGTCTAACTCTGGAGAGGACGCCATTTTATCTGAAAACCAGACAAATACTTCTAAGCTACAAAATTATTAAAATGCCTTGGACACTAAATAGAAATAGGATAATGACACGTGAAACGTATTCCTAAATATATACAGGCTCATTTAAGATCAACAGAACGTCGAATGTGAATACATTTCTATATTTTTCGAACATTATATAACACCAAAGTCGTCATGTTACACAAAAACTGAAGGGTCGGTTGATTTCCTGGAAGATGTGTGTAACTGTGTAGGTTAACGAGTGGCCGCAATTCGACAAACCATTGTACCCTATGATGGTGAGACAATATCTCTCCCTTGAGATCGTTCTATTTTCACATCCCCTACCTGATAGCTCTATTTTCACATCCCCTACCTGATAGCTCTATTTTCACATCCCTACCTGATCGTTCTATTTTCACATCCCCTACCTGATAGCTCTATTTTCATATCCCCTACATGATCGTTCTATTTTCACATCCCCTACCTGATAGCTCTGATTTCACATCCCCTACCCGATAGCTCTATTTTCACATCCCCTACCCGATAGCTCTATTTTCACATCCCCTACCTGATAGCTCTATTTTCACATCCCCTACCTGATAGCTCTATTTTCACATCCCCTGCCTTATCATTCAATTTTCACATCCTTGATTTCCTCTAAATGCAAGTTATAAACGCATAGAAGATTTACTTACCGTGTTGTAAATTAGATGTGTTGTTGTTGAAGATTTACAAAGATCCAGAGCCTCAATATCTCGTCAGTTTGTGATCTCGTCAGTTTGTAATCTCGTTAGTATGTGATAGCGCAGGCGCATCAGCTATCTACCTTCACAAAACGACATGTACTTATTGTCGTTTCTAATGCTAAGACAAGTTTAACACAATTTTAGAACAACTTGTGTGTTTTTATCAGATAAGCAAAAAAAAAAAAAAAACCGACAATTCTGAAAAGATGATTAAATAACACCAGGGTGTAGATTTTATATCAAACGAGATAAGAAATGGGGATAGATGCCCAGATGAATCGTTATCACAGGATGGATATTTTATGCAGTGACATGTTTCTGGTGTCAGTAAATGTACCTGCCGAGTGATAATTCAGTGACTGGCCTTCACCTCGCTTATCCATATGATATCATATCCCTACAACAGATATGGGACCCGAAACTGAATGTGCGACACTGCACGATTGAAATAACATCATTCATTCTCCATAAATATAACTTTGATTTATAGATTATCGACAGCTTCCGTCTTCAGATACAGTTTCCCTTCCATCTGGACATATCGTCATCTAACAAAGCGATATCTACCGTTCCGAAAAACCAGGACAAGGTTACTTTTCGGTTCTAGTTTTTCTATTTTTGTTTCGTTTTGTTCTTATGTTTGTTTTTGTTTGGTTTTATTTTTTGTTTGCTTTTGTTTGTTTTTGTTTTGTACTTTGCTCTTGTCATCCGAGTCTGAAAAAAGACTGATATTTTCTCCTTGTCATTGCTGTATTGACGTCATCATATGCACGATTTGATCGTTAAATAAATATGTAATAACAAAACAACTTTAGAAGTTTATGTAATTTGTTCGACACATTTTACGTCATTCAGTTAATGACTCGATTCAAAATAAACCAGTATTCATATTTCTGTCAACCGCTTCCGGTTTTCCTTGTTTACCAGATTTGTTCGGGAAGGTGTTATCTCTTCTGTGTCTTTGTAACGCCTGACATATATCGAGATCATTTATCTCACTTTAATACTTGTATGTATTCTGTTATCGATCTTTTTATATAATTGTGCACGTGCATATTGTTTTTGAACCTTTGCAAAATATGAGATTAACGCTGTTTATATAACTAGTAGTCACCGTTCATCTAAATGTCTCGTTTTTACGAGTCCTCGGTGACCTGTTATTTTCTATTATGCTCAAAATCTTTATTTCACATTAAGTTTTTAACTTTTAAAAACTTTCTTTAATTCAAACCTGTTAACAACTTGTCTGATTTTTCGTGGCCTTTTATGATGTTCTATTCTTTGAAAATCAGCCATGCAGGTAAGGGGTAAGAATTAAACGTGCTCCCTCAATTGAACGACCAAAACAGGCGACTTAACCTCGGATTTCCTTTGATTTTTATATCTTTCCAAAATAACTTTTGCTTCGTCATGTGTACCTTGGCACCCCCTCACCATTTTTGTCATAGCTCTGAGCGTTGGCCCAATTTGGCATTGCACTGTATATAGTCTCGCTGTACTTGTAAGTCCTTGTGATGGTATACTTGTTTCCTCCTCGTCACTCCGTGTTAACAAGGCTGCTTTGCCCGTTATCAAATTAAATAGTGTGACCGGGTAGGGCGTCCTGTTTCCATGTCCAGGTTATGACGTTTCATTATGATGACACTATAAATCATCCGTCAATAGCACCATCCTCCGTGGAGGATCGCTGTGTGTTTTACCGGTTGATGGCCCTAATGACCTTTTATGTGTTGACTGGCCGTTAAGAATGTTATAATAAATAATAGTTAAATAAATAATATGATTAACAAATAAGTGAACAGTGCGACTGGAGTTGTCCTTCCTGTTTCTCCTCATTTCTGAATTCGCGTTTCAATCTTTCTCTTGGTATATGTGTATATATATATATGTATAAATCATATGTGAAAATCTCTTGCGTTAGAGGTGAATGTCTGTTACCTGTGATGTAAAACAACCCTACATCTAGCAGGTTAAATATGGTTATCATATTGTATTAGGTATTGTTCAAACGTCACACTTCTGTATGTAGATTTCTTCACAACTATTTAAGTCAACATTTATTTTAAACTTTTTGAAATTTAAGGTATTCGTCAATATGTATGAAATAGATGATAAGTAAAACGTTTTGAAGCAAAAACATAAAATTTCCAGCAAAAACAGATCAACCGTTAAAGTAATGATTTCTAGTTAATTGGTTGGTTAATGGCTTTATCGTCTATAAAATCAAACACATCCGAGAATGCTTTATTCAGTAACGCTATGTCTAACACCCGAAGTGTTCCGAGTGTGACGAATACCAGACATAGCGTCTACATTAAACATGGCTTCCGGATGTTTACGCGGGTAAGGTCGCGTGGTCGTGTGGTCACCCACAGTTCCTCGAAATATGCCATACCCCGAGGGTGGCAGATATATTCTCGATATGCAAGTATTAAATGATAAACAGCCACTTTCTGCCTCAGTCTGTCAATATCATCCGTAGTGTGTCTTATTAGCGTATACGCTGTGATTTACAAATAGACTTTTAATCAGTTAGTGTTTAAAATACCTTTTATTTTGAAAACGTGACAGGTTATTGAAAAAATTCCTTAAAGAAGCTGAAAATATTTTCAAGGAATACATATTTCCATTTGTTTGTAATAATACAAAGGATTTCTGTTTGTTTAGTGTCCGACATAACCGTCACTTTACGACGAAATGTGATAAATCTGTATCGAAGCACGTGCAAAAAACTACAATATTCAACGACACTAGAACTGTTCAATCCTACAGAAGAATGAGCCAGGCTCCATAACGTGTTCATCCGTGTATATACATCGGAACCTGTTCATACGTATTAATAACAGAATTTGACTCCAGAATTTTTTCATCATGAAGGGATTTGGACATACCAACGTAACGCGCATAATTTGTGTAACATTAATGATGTTCGCCATATTTGGACATGTAGCAGAATCAGTGCCCATGTGGAAAGCAGGTAGGTGTCCATCTCTGCTCGCCCATCTTGCTCATGGATATGTTTTACACGTGTATTCCGTCTCTAAAAATAGTTGTTTGACATAAAGTACCCAGAGTATGGCTGATAAGTAATAATGGTGTATTACCGGTCTATCTAGGCCCCCTGTGTTATGAATTTAAAAGTATTCAAACAATGAGAGAACACCATTACAACGATAAAATCAATATTCAAATTTTACAATGATAAACGCGAGGAGGGTAGTGTGTGTGTGTGTGTGTGGGTTCATGGGGATAAGACCAAGTGTTCCCAAAGGGAAAGAGTCTTTTGCCTCCTAGACCTAGACATCAAATATATCTTGGTCTATCCCAGTAATTTGTGTGCCTTCTCAGACGCGGATCATATCTAAAATAACGAAATCAACAGGCTACATCAAACCTAAAATTCACGTCAAGTTCTCAGAATTAACTTTTTTTTAACGACAAACAAGCGTAACACAAATAATAAACCGTTGTTGACAGCTCAAGGGGAAACGATCATTTCAAAATCTGAGGCACAAGCGAAGTAATTTGATTCGGTTTTACGGGTTGTTAGCAGAGCAAAATCTGTATAATCACGGGCTGGTTTATAATATGAAGATCAGAAAGGAGCGATGTGACTTCGAGATTCGTTTAGAATTCATCAAAGTATCAGACTAGTCTCGGCTTATTCACAAGCTGTCGGCGCACATGTTACTTTCAATTTAGCCATGAAATGTTCCCGGGGTAAAAGAGCGAAAGTGATGGTAACTTCTGGAGTATAGAGGATGGACATTTCTTATCATCGTCAAAAGAGCACCGTTTAATTGTGACGTAACAACAGCCACTGTAATTCAATTATGACGCGATGCACGTGACATCTTGTGGTTTAACTGAGGTTTGGCCGTTCACGTTTAGTGGTTTGGTTACAGATAGACGGCCAGGTATTTAGAGGTTTGATTGATGACTGATACTATGGGAGTTTCCGGGGAAATTTTCTGTTTCCGTTATTGCGACCTGTGATGGCCGCGGAGGAATGCGGAAGTGAAATTTAGAGAACATGCCTTACACAAAATTCTACGGAATATTACAAGTGGATAAACATAAAACGTATAACCACAAGGGCACTATAATGCATATATATGGACCATGAGTCGAGAATTCGTGTCAAATGCTTGTGAGCACATCCGCTATTGAGTGATCCTCTGCCAAAATAGTTGATCAACATGTAAACCTCATCTTAATCAGCCTTATCTCACTACAGTGATTGAAATAAATTTAAATAATTTGAAAATATACTCATCATATAGCAAATCTAAGTCATTCGAGGGCTTATTGTGTGTTCTGAATTGGATGTAAACGTATTTACAGTAGATACGTAGCTGTTACAGAAATGTCTGATGGATTTTCCTCTCAACACCGTGCATTATAATATCAGATAATTCAGATAATATTTTAGTGAAAAGTACGTATATTGGAACTTTAGGATATCGTACGAGCTACACATTTACCGCCTTACGTGAATAGTCAACCGGATAGAAACTACATGTCCCACATGAGTTGCCTCTCACAGTAATATGACGTAATGTGAGTTTTCATTTCGTGCGAGCATTTTGAGAACTTCATTTTTTACAAACCTTGGCGACCGAAAACATTTCAAGACGAGTTTCATGAAATCTCGTATGATACTTGTTTCCACATGACGCAGAGCGGTTCCACTTCGACATGTTGTAAGCCAGAATTTAAAGGATAAAATCAGAAAGAGGCAGCCATTTTGTTACGCCAATTTTATGACGTAACTTCATTGTCCATGTTATGACATCACTATCGACAGGCGCATTCAATGAAAAGCGTTCAAGAGCATATTAAAGCTAGTGACAAATTTTAAAATGTTCGATTTAGAATTATTAAGTACATAAAACTGGACCGTAACCTTAAAACAGTTCCATGCATGTATTCATCCTCTTCAAGTTTCACCATTTTGTGAGGAGACGTAAATTCAGTGTACATTATCATTAAAAAAAACTCCAAACCGTAGGCAATTCATGACCTCATCTATGCACAACTGACTTTGGTAAGGTTACATCATATCGATGTCATACAACAGTAAACATGGTAGTTATATATATATTGTTAAATATATATCGAGATCAACATTGTACGTACTAAAAGATATGTCGTATGGTTTAAATATGCTGCCATTATTCTTAAACACGTAGGTAGGCTGACCAACAGGTCTTCGTGACGTTTGAGAAATAGCTTCCGGTCAAAGTCGTCAGAAGTGACCAGTACGGACCAAACTGACGTACGAAGGCGCCACTCCGCCGATGTTATCACAGGTATCGCTCGGTCAGTTAGGTACAGGTGAACACCACGTATGACCCGAATGACCCTTGTGACGTCTTTGATTGCGGCATTCAAAAGATCATGAAGATTTATGTATTAGTATTACGTTTCACATGCGACTGTATAGTTCTAAACAGTTTATACACTATTGGTACTTTCTTGTATAGTTTTTAACAGTCTATACACTATTGGTACTTTCTTGTATAGTTTTTAACAGTTTATACACTATTGGTACTTTCTTGTATAGTTTTTAACAGTCTATACACTATTGGTACTTTCTTGTATGGTACTTTCTTGTATAGTTTTTAACAGTCTATACACTATTGGTACTTTCTTGTATAATTTTTAACAGTTTATTCACTATTGATACTTTCTTGTATAGTTTTTAACAGTTTATACACAATTGGTACTTTCTTGTATAGTTTTTAACAGTCTATACACTATTGGTACTTTCTTGTATAATTTTTAACAGTTTAAACATTATTTCTACTTTCTTGTATAGTTTTTAACAGTCTGTTCACTATTGATAATTTCTGTATAGTGTTTATTGTGAACATCATGCACAAGGCCGGTCGCATTCAATCCGGAATCTATCGAATTGTAGCTCTTCGACATATACAGGATCCAAAATGTGTACATAAGACACACAGATGAATAACACCTTTCAATACAGGTTTACATTAGATACAGTGAAGCTAGATAATGAATTAAATGGACCAATCACCGGTCTCGTCTTTCTAGGACTTGTCGGTAATGCTACATCATTCACCGATCTCGTCTTTTTCGGACTCGTCAGTGACGCTACATTGCACACCGATCTCGTCTTTCTAGGACTTGTCGGTAATGCTACATCATACACCGATCTCGTCTTTCTAGGACTTGTCGGTAATGCTACATCATACACCGATCTCGTCTTTCTAGGACTCGTCAGTGACGTTACATCATAAAGCTGTTTCATCCTTCTAGGACTCGTCAGTGAAACTACATTATAAAACTGTTTCAGCTTTCTAGGACTTGTCGGTAATGCTACATCATACACCGGTCTCGTCTTTCTAGTACTCGTCAGTGATGTTACATCATACACCGGTCTCGTCTTTCTAGGACTCGTCAGTAATGCTACATCATACACCGGTCTCGTCTTTCTAGGACTCGTCAGTGATGTTACATCATACACCGATCTCGTCTTTCTAGTACTGGTCAGTCTTTCTAGGACTCGTCAGTGATGTTACATCATACACCGATCTCGTCTTTCTAGTACTCGTCAGTGATGTTACATCATACAGCTGTCTCGTCTTTCCAGGACTCGTCAGTGATGTTACATCATACACCGGTCTCGTCTTTCTAGTACTCGTCAGTGTTGCTAAGGCCTTACATTTTGTAAAATAAGAAGCAACCGAGGAAAGCCAATATTTGTTGAAAGAAATTCCAAGTTTCAAATGGCGAGGTGTACTAGTCCTCAAATTCAATAGATTTCACATGTACATCTGAAAATTCGAAATGAATGTCAAGTACATGCATATGAATGACAACGTGACGTATAGGTACCGGCAAACTGGGAGACTAAAAAGTCCGCAAGCAGTGTCTACCCTCGGTAATCTGCAAGATTAAAAAAAATGGACACGCAATGCGAATAACACTTTTCTAAAACATTAGAATCTGACACAGTAGAGTCAGATAATGAGCTGCATCGCATAATCGTTTCGTCTTTTTAGGACTCTTCAGCACCTTTCTTACAATTTCTAACTTTATCACTACAAAGTTGAATGTATATAATCATGTCCATTGGTTTATATCATCTTTGTATCATGTAACGTAAAGATAAGTAGACAAATGTTTTCATTTGTGTTGAAACCTTTACTAAACCATGTTGTTTGGATGTTTACGTTATATCCTTTTATCATTAAGTTGTAGGCAGTATTCCATTGAAATACACGTTCCTCATCTTCTACAGAAAAAAAGTCTCATCGTGACGTCATGTACGCTATAAATAACATACAGAAAGAAAACACCAAAACACGCAAACAGATTAACACTAGAATCTTTAATTCAATTCGGCATGAAAAAGAGATATTTTTGTTATATACGATATGGAAACGGGTAGGGTCATATTTATAGATATTCTCAACAAATGGCGGATCTATTCAAATGGTAACATACAAGGTCACCCGCCAATGTCAGAACCTCGGAAAACATGTAAGCGTGCCACCACATACGGTCACGTGACCAACCGAATATGTCGAAAAGCCTTGTTGAATTTAATCATGTCTATGTAGAAGAGAACAGTTAATACCATAACGTTGTCTATAAGCTTTTGCCTGTCCGTCTGTCTGTCTGTCTGTCTGTCTGTCTGTCCTACTATACTGTATAATCTGCTTACGAATAGGTATGGACAAAAACGACGTTCCCGTCCAGCCTATCCGGATGAACTCCAGCCTGATCTACAGATGGTTGATCCGTTTGATGAGCCGTAAAGACCTATACTCGTGGATTGTGAGTATCAGTCCTTCATTATCCTACATCAAACACACATCAGTAGTAACTTTTTTTTGACCAAGTGGTTATGTGTTCTTGGTGTTGGCTTTGTACCGGTACTTGAAAGTTATATCAGTCTAATTAATGAAACTGAGCGGTGAAATAGTAAATAGGGGAAAGAAACCGTGGGCGTGGTTAGACGGGTTTAATGGACGGCTGCTGGAATATCTTAAAACGTTTGTTAAATGTAATTTTATAGTGAAGTTTCCTGATGTTTTAAGAATTTCTCCGACTTTGTCATTTGAGACATCAGGTTGAAAAAAAACGGCGTAAAATACAAAGGTTTTCAAAAATTTGTAATGAAAAATAAATAAAAGAGTTGAAGCGAGATTCCGGAACAAGAGTAAAATAACGGAAGAATTGTAGCATCACATAATGTAAAAGTACTGTTCAAGTCTTTGCAGTTCTACCAAATATCGTTTTAACATGAGGTGTTTAAGAGGAAGTCATGAGCCGAATTGTATAAGGTAACTTAGTCTATTATTCGCAATCTCAATCCATTCTAAAAAAAAAAAATAATAAAAACCAAACTAAAAACATACATCGACTGTATCAGAGCTAAAGAGGTTCTATTTTAAGTCACTGACCGGCAATGACTGAAATTGCGACTGAAATGTTCAAGGTCAGTGAAATGTTTGTAAACAATGAGTGATCACAAGCGCCTTAGGTGATTGAACACGTGGAATTATTAACCGTACCAACACATGGCTGAGTTATCTCTAGGCGATATTTATACATGAATTATAGTGCTTCTTAGCGTACAACCACTTTCCCATAAAACACACGACTATATAAATATTTTGTTTGTTTGAATAATTAGACGGAATCTGGTGCAACAGTAAACAACAGGTGGATGATCACAAATTTTATAATAATCTGTTTGATTAACGTACATAACCTGCGCACACGAAGGTCGATCAGTTTCGCGGTCGTTTTGAATTCGTGTCATTCTCACGCGGGTAACCGTAGGTTGAATAATTCGGTGAGGTTTGCCCGGTTTCGATCATTTGTATACGACCCACGTTTGAACAGCGTGAAGCGAATCAATGCTGTTTATAATACCCTCTAGCACATTAAAATGTTTACGAGCAGTGATTCCTTTCGGCACAGAGCCGGCGTTGTTTACAAACAAGAATCCTTCCTGTAGGTCTGGTTCCCTGATGATAAGCATATCACATATACTTATCAAAGCTAGCAGCAATGATATCATTTAAAACCTTAAACAGAAAAAGGGGAGGAAACTTTACAATTACACAGTAATTCCGGACAGTGGTTCAATAGAAACAATTCCAAATATTATGAGAAAACAAAATAAGATTATGATATAACATATCTAAGTTATTCTTTTTTTCCAGAATTTCCACGTCCATCCACATTCGACACCAACTACCAGTCCCATAACAGGTATGTTTATAAGGTCCCTAATACAGCACCATCTTTGTGGAGAAATATCAACATTTCCTCGATCTTCCCCGTGGGACCAAAATTAGTTCCTATCGCCTGCCCGTAAGACACGGTTTAACCTGTTCAATGCAATACAACGATATTGTATACGCAAGGTTAAATATATATACATATTTCCATTATTTATCGAAGTTTTGGTAACAGGATAGAGAATATTGCACAACACAAACCGAAAAAACAAAAAGTCGAACTTAAAAGTTATTCATATTCATTCAGATCGACAGATCTTGCATATTGAAGTCAAGGGGGGTGGGGGGTAAATATATAGTTATCGCTTTAGTACAAAATTGAGTTCATATATACTCCGGCATTGTTATATTTACATGTATTTCGATACATTATAGCTTATACTTCACAATTGATTGTGATATAATTTAAACAATGACGATATATTTCTGTTTTAGACCCGACAACTACGGTAGCGGCATTGGAAAGCGATGAACTACAGATACAGCGAGATACCGATGACCTTGGCACTGTGCCAATAGTAGGACCCGGTGCCGCTTCCCCTTCCGGTGCCGGTAATGATGGCCAGGATACGTCGACTGGACCCGCTCTGATTGTTGTACGGGATGTAGAAGAAACTACTTCCTCACTTCCGGTCACACGGTTATCAACTGCCAGTTTAATGGGTAATGGTATACCAATGATAATATTGTCGGGTAACAAGGATGTTGACAGGATCGGAGATGACTCTCAGTCGACGAATGCTGATGATTCCTCTACACCACAAATGATAAGAGACACTTTTGATGACATGCCTGTGGCGGGGGACACTATGAGTCCTTCCGGTGACAACACGAAGTCAGTTCCGATTATTGTAAATCCTACCGGAAGTGCAGGGGACGATTCTAATTCAAACGATGAATCAACGAGTAATCCGGATTCGTCTCTAACAATTGTTCGTGACAGAGATGGGGAGCCAGATACCATGAATGATAACGACACACCTGCTTCATCTTCGTCATCCTCAACGTCACAATCTTCCTCCTCGACATCTGGTTCTACGTCTTCGGGTTTGCTTATTCTTGATCCGGCGGCGTTACTGAATCAGGGTTTTATGGGCAAATGAGCACTGACCATGTTAAGTTATCGTGTTAAGATGACAGTATGACGTAAAGATGTATACGATACATCATCTCATAAAATTCTGACGTCATCGAATGAACTTTGACATCACATAGTTCTTGAAGTTAGCAAGGGAACGGCTGATTGTACTTTTTTGAGGAGACGTCATAATGAAGCAGACGAAGACCAGAAAAAGCATTGTTACGAATACCATAACGCCAAATACGGGCAAATCATGACGCGTCAAGTCCTTGTCTGAAATTCATCTAGACACCAAACTTTGGCGCCAAACTATAGTCACTTCGGTATTTAAGGGGTTGATCTGACGTCGTTGATCAATGTTTTGAAGCGAGCAGTCAGTTGATTTGAAGCTACATGATACCGTATTGTTTTTAAAGTACATTGTTTTGCATTTTAAGTTTCAGTAAAGAACTTAGTCTTTCTCCAACGGCATGTTAGCCATGGAAGATGCTACAGACAACCTCTCTTACATGCTAACGTAATACATTGCTAAGACGTAGTTATTAATTATCATATATTTCAAAAAAATTTGTATGTCTTTGAATAATGTTTACCATTGACTGAGAAACCTGGAAATATCTTCGCTTAGAACTTGGTTCCTGTCGTGCAGAAGTATTATGTTATGGACGGGGTATACGTCACAGAAAGGTTCACATAGATATGAACTTGTTACGATATCAGGTTGTTTAATCGTGTATATTTACATGAATTAATAATCTCAACAAAATAAAAAATTGTGAAGTTGGAGCAAGCATTCTCGATTTTTTTCAGAAATCGAGACAGATATGAGGTTATATTACACATCAATATACTTGTCCGCGTAATCAACCTTTGCTGTCTACGTCATCAGTTCCTCCGATGTATTTATTTGCTGGTGATAATGTTTGTATTTTCTTGTGTTTTGTTTTTATATTTATGATAATACATGGCAAAAATCTCGTGTTTGTTCTCCTTCAGGCTGCCTGATATTGTCCTTCATATACCTTCATTAAAACTGAAACGCCAGTTAAAGTGTTCTTAACTAATATCAAAAACAACAGTCATTCATTTTTTGTTAGAAATTATGAAAAATGCATCTATGTTTATCAAAGTTCATTAAAAAAGCTAAAAGACAATCATTTTGGCTAGAAATTATCATTGTTTTACGTCCCTACTCTGACTAGGTTAAAAGTTTTTCTTAACTCTTACCAAGAATTCCTGTCTAATTTCAGGTGGGAAAAGTCAACTGTTTTTGTTTTGCTGTGTTTTTTGTTTTGTTTTGTTGTTGTATTTATAATTGTCAGTATTCAAACATAGTATTACGTGTTTATTTTATATGGAACATGTCATATATCGAAAGCTACAACGAATAGTGCTCAGAATTTCAAGAAAAAATAGTTTTCTAAACTTCTATGAATTCATCATAAACATGACTATCAAAATTAATATCGATAAATGAATAGGGTACAGTAAGATCGAAATATTGTACACGCCATCATTGGATTATCTCCCTTGTCACTCACTCTTCAATAGTAATAAATATATCCGTTATCATTAATATAAATGTATTGATATATAGATCCTGGTATAACGTCATCCATGCATCATGCCCATAACATCACCCTACTAATGTTACATAACTTTTCTAACTAAATAGATAACAGATTAACATCTGTTAATCAACATTCGGGATATAGAAACCATTTTCTAGTCATGGCAATGGAGTGGTTTTCACTCTTATTGACAAATCATCGTATTCTTTACGAGTACGGTTGTCTTGGTAACGAAATATTCACGGGTATGGTTGTCTATGTAACGAAATATTCTCGGGTATGGTTGCCATGGGTAACAAAATATTCACGGGTATGGTTGCCATGGGTAACAAATTATTCTCGGGTATGGTTGCCATGGGTAACAAAATATTCACGGGTATGGTTGCCATGGGTAACAAATTATTCACGGGTATGGTTGCCATGGGTAACGAAATATTCACGGGTATGGTTGTCCGGATAAAGGAGTCAACTAATATGTATTTTGATTGTAAATATGTTATTGACGTTGTTACAAAATCATATTTTTATTGTATTGATACATTAAACTCACCATGAATATGTGTTTTTATCGTTTTTACTTATTAAATGTTTTAAACATTCGTCCATGACACTGAGGGAATCGATGCTAATATAAAGGACCTCCACATTTGTAAGATTTTCGTTAGGTTTTTTGACTAGTTTAGAATGGACCCTCCTGTTAACACCTTGACAATAAGACACAAAGGAAATCTCAGCATTCAGACAAAGAACCCTCTGGACTTCAAGAAATAATGAAAGTAAACTATAGCTCTCAAAATCCTGGATGGCCGTTTGTCAGCCATTTTGTTCCTAACTCGCTCCAAAAGGGAAAATTTAAAAGTAAGAACCGACGGGGAAAATTGAGGAAAGAATTAAAATGTATCGATAACAAACTTTAAATGTCAAAATTCAAGATGGCCACCTTGTCGGCCATTTCGGTCGGTCCACAAACAAATAATGCAAAAACTAACAAATGAAAAATGATAAATCTAGCAGTTCTCAGAAATAATGATTAAAAAATCTAATCGTGCCATGCATAATGAATGGTCAGTGAGAATCTACATATGAATACTAAGAGTATGTAACATTAACACGTGTCCCACCACTGAAGGATGGTGGGCGTCGCCATTGATATCCAAATCTATGGATGATGATGCCCACTGAAATGCCAATGGGAACAAGTAAACATTACAACATACTAATAAAATGAATTCACTTGAGGGGTGGTCGGGTGGCGCACTCGCCTTTCACCTAGCCGTCCGCGGTTCGATTCCCGGAATGGATGTGAAAAGACCACGTGGGTTTTCCCCGGGTAGTCCGGTTTCCTTCCACAGTAAGATCACTCGTGCGCTTCCATCCGGGCCAACAAGAATGATTAATTTAGGTTGGAAAATTTGCTTCGCAATTGTTGTAAGTTAAATAAAGTGAATTATTATCATGGACTCACCAACAATTAATGATTTTCCTGTCACATATGTTGTAAAGGTATCAAACACTACACGTGTATTGCGTACAATTGTGCAAAGGGTATTTGTCACGTGAATTAATGGACAACATAAGCAGCATTTTGTGCCAAGATGCAGTCAACTTCCTGGAAAGCTTTCTAATATGATGAAATGTACAAATTTGTCACGTGAAGCAGTTGATTCAGTCAACTTCCCTAACTGTATTGTCACGTGATACCATCTTCCTGAATAGTACTTGTCACGTGATGCAATCGACATTATGGACAGCTTCACGTAATGCAATCAACATCCTGAGCAGAATGCCAATTGATGCAATCGACTTCCTGAACTGTTTTGCCACTTGTCATGTGATGTAAGCGATTTCCTGTACAAAATTGTCACGTGATGTAAACGACATTCCAAGTAGCATTTGTCACGTGATACAATCTGCATCCTCAACAGTAATTGTGAACTGACTAACTGATGTATCAAAAGCTGGGAACGGTATTTAAGGTCTCGAGATTCCATTAAAGTGGATTACTTTTGTGAATTGCTACATGTCTGAGTAACGTCATGAAATCTGCCTTAATCAACACCTTTACAAATACATGTAGAAAAGTCACAAGTATTGATGTAATACAAAAAAATAGATATCAAACTTCTGTATAAAGACCACCTGTCTATAAAGACCAGTATTTAGAGGCTTATGAACCTGTAAATCACACAACAACACAAAGAGGTACATATACTCCATATTTATTAATCACTTACATGGTGACATCACAATAAAATCTGGTTAAAAATATAAGCATACTCATCACTCAAACTATATCGTAATATCAATAAAATTGTAATTTTCTCGCCACAAAAATCAGCTGGATACATAAGTGACAAATGGACCACATAATGGAATTGTGTCTATTTCAGGAAATATCAATTTTGAGTAATAGGGGAACACAATGAATCAACACAAAAAATTTCAAAATTTCACCATTGGGTAAAAACATGAATGGCTATACTGATATATATATATATCTCACATGTACAATGGTTATCATTGTTGCGGGTGTACATAGGTGGACTGAAGTTCAGCAAAATATAAACAAGTTAATAATACTTACCTAAAATTTTTTAACTAAATAATGTTACTCAAACTCACAATGAAATTCGGGGTATATCAATTGGGAGAAAGCATTGGAAACATTTCAAATGACATTTATCAAATGAGATTATTTACCTGTAAAATTTATCTGTCATCAATATATACCTGAAACACCTGAACTTATACCTGTGTTCTACATCAAATTAATGTTGTTACTTATCTGATGAGAAGATGTCTGATATACATTACCTTGTAATATCTTGAAGTAATCTAGAAGTTTCCTTATAAGGAATCTTGATATTAACTTGCTAGAACCACTTACTCAAAATATCACTATTTTTGAGGAGTTTCATTTTTTGCTGATTTCCAAGAAAAAATAATGTTGCAAAACAAATTATCCTTAAAAATAAAGAAAAAGAACAGAATACTAGTCTGTTCCATATTATTGATTTTTTATAGAAAAATACATTCCATAATACATTGAAATCTGCTTATTATTATAGTCTATTTCAAAAATATGTCAATTAACAAGCAAAATTTGAACCAACTGATTCTATTTTTCATTACTTTCTTATCATTATTATTGCTTTTTTCTCATGTTTCTTTACAATTCTGAATTTGTTGGTAACATTCTTCTACATATTTCTTTTTAAATACTTTCTGTTGAATATTACTGCATGTCTGAAATGAGACTTCTCCAACAATAGACAAAGAAATGCAAAATTTGAACGTCAATTAACAATTCCAAATGAGCAAAGTGCTATGCATCTACTGTAATGAAAATGGAAAAAAAAATTCTTCAGTTTGATGAAACACAAATGTATAAACAGTCACAGATACAAATGTACAAACATTAAAACATATCAGAATATCGCTCTCATTCTGAAGTTGTTGTAGAAAATCATTTCATATATAACGAATAAAAACCAGTAAACAAAGAAGTATTACACATTGTATAGAAGGTAATGCTGCAGAAACTTAATACTAATTTCTGGAAGACTTAACAAACCTGTAAAATAAACACGAACAATTAACTTGGAATTTTCCTTCAGTATCTTCTGGAAAAAGTATCAGCAGTTTACAGAATATGTTTACATACACGCTACTGATAACAGTTACATCTCTGTTTTGTTATACTTGTACTCAATTCAGTTATCTCCCCTGTTTGCTAAACTCAATTCACAGTTCTCCCCTGTTTGCTAAACTCAATTCACAGTTATCTCCCCTGTTTGTTAAACTCAATTCACAGCATTAAAGTACAAAAGAATGACAATATAGTTTTGATGTTAGATGCCACCGACTCCAAAACTATTAAGTATAAGGATTACCTCCCTTTATCAACGGCGTATACCTTAGGTATTGTCTCAAATTATCAACTTATAGGACACTGTTGATTCTGACTATAACAGCTTTACTGTTAACCCCAAATCCCAGGGAGCACAACAGCTTGATAATGTCCCAATTATGTGTGCACATTAAAGGCAAATAAATTTCTCTGTACAGACTAACCTGTCAGAATTGTGCAGAGCCATATTAAAATTTGTCATTATGTATAGGAAACAGACCTAAATCATTCGGTGTTATTTATTTACAGGTGCAACTGTACTTGAATGACCTTTCCCTGTCTATTTAGCAGAGAATATCATACCCTATTATTATTATTCTACAAAAAGATGGTACAACATCCTAAATGCTCTATCTTTTAATTCCAATTGGTTTAGATTCCAGTTGACTAAAATCATTAAAAAATATCTTTCTGACAATAATAAATATTGAGTTGTCTTCAGTAGTTATATCTCAATGTGAAGAGTTGTTATTTGTTTATTTATATACAATATAATGGAATAACTGCTTTTAATGCTTGATGTGAAATCCACTAATTATGCTTAAATCTTTATGTAAAATGTGTTCTGCTTAAAACATTATGTGAAAAGTGTTATGATAAATGCTTTACATGAAAAGTGTTGTGCTAAATGCTTTACATGAAATGTGTTGTGCTAAATGCTTTACATGAAATGTGTTGTGCTAAATGCTTTACATGAAATGTGTTGTGCTAAATGCTTTACATGATGTGTGTTTTGTTAAATGCTTTACATGATGTGTGTTGTGCTAAATGCTTTACATGAAAAAGTGTTATGATAAATGCATTACATGATATGTGTTAAATTCTCCACATGAAATGCGTTGTGCTAGATGCTTCATGAGAAAAAATTGAGATACTGAGTGTTCTAAAGCTGCTATAGGCCAACAAGTAACCATAGACGCTTGTATATTCTTTCTAGCTTGATTATCTCCGATAAAAAGTATTCTTCATCAAAACATTTCATATTATGCATTTTGCAATCAGAATGTAGTACCGTCTTTCTATATATTTCATTTCTTTAACAGTTTGTTTGATGTTATTTCCTTTTTGGATCGCTGTGTGTTTCACTAGCTGATGACCTAATGACCTTTAATGTGTTGACAGGCTGTTACGACTGCAATAATTATTTATCCTAAACATGCATGAAATAAAGAACATGAATTACCTCCCCTTACCATTAAAGAGGAAATCAGAAAATCTAAAGAGTACTTCATTTTCTCAACATGGTTATATTGTATATTTGTCATCCATAAACAGCTTGTTTATACACATTCCATGGTTATCTCCCCTTGTCATTATAGCATAATAGCTGGGTTATTGTCCCTCTATGTTAAGCTTGATATTACAGCAGATGAATAGTCCATTGCTGTGTAGCAACACTTTATTAGATACATGACGTTTCAGCAATTCATACGAGTATGTCTATTGCAAGACATGTTCTGTTGGATAAATAAGGTACATCTACCAGTATTCTGTAAAGTCATACATTTTTGTGAGGCTCAATTTCTTTTTTTTTTTTTTTTAAAGTTCCTTTTTCATGGACACTTTATTTCATCAGAAATATAGCTCAATTAATCTACTCATTTTAACATTTCTTGAACTTGTCAATTCCTGTATTGTATCGATGAAATTACATCCCCAGCAAAGAAAATTAATGATTTTACAGTAAACATACACGAGCTTATTGTCCAATAAACAGGTCAGTAATATGGGATAAAAACGAAGCTTCCAATATGTCAGATCACTTTGGAACCTTAACAAACCTTATACAGTGTCGCTGAGCTATAGTGATAAAATATCTGGTTACAGGTGTTCAATATAGAGGGAGACAGGGTGTTTTAATTGGTCATCCTGACCGATCAGTGACAGGGACTTCAGTGTAGCATACTGTCTAACTCAAAGAGTAGAAAGCAGATGTAAAAGCCTTATTAAATGTTAAAAGTCTTAACTTCATATTAGTCTGACAGTATAAATATCATATCTCTGATCTGTTCAAATGATATTCTCCTATTTAATCTTATTCTGAATAATTCAATGTCCCCAAAATTAAATACATTTTATCAAATGCAATCAACTATCAGCAATTCCTGACTTTCTCATGATTAAGTAAGGTCACAATATGACCAATTCCAGTTTGGCCCATCAGATCAGACAGGCTGATAAAACACAATACATTACCCTTGTATGAAATATTAAATCACTATACATTTCCCATGAAATGTTAAAAAAAAAATTTTCATAATTTTTTATTTTTTTAAAAAATTTCTTTTAATACGAATTAGATTAATCTGGGTTTATTTCACAACTGGCAACATGTCTCACACTACAAGTCATAACAATATACAGAGTTACCATCTTGTAACAGGGAGGGACTCTTTATTTAGATCAAGGAAGCCATAAACTTTTGGCCAAATTCAATAATCAAAAGTAAAGCATACAATTTAATATTAAATTCATTATTTGGCAACATTTACATGAAATTATACAACACGTAACGTCTCACTTTTAAATGATAATTACAAATAATCCATGGGGTTGGGGAGTCTGCTTCACCTTACGAGACAAAAAATTTGTGCAAGTAACAATGTAATTAAATTCTAAATAAATGACCTTTAAACTATGACCTATAAATGACAAATGTCTGTAATATACATGTAAATTCTTTGGTACAGTAGCACTTATAACTTCAACATCACACATCTCTCATTCATTGGCTATTTTATTATGATTCTTAGCAAAATTGTTCCTCATAACTCACTGTACAAAGAAATATATAGATTACATCAATGTAAACAGCAGCGGGAAGGTTTTCAATTAAATATGGCAAAACAGTTGTAGTGGTATATAGTAACAGCAGGAAGTAACACGATAGTTCTTCATCATAAAAACACAACAATATTTTACACAGTAACCTACATTATATACAAATAATAATAAAATAAAAGTGGTATACTGAGAAAGAGAAATTTTCCTATACATCTTTCTTACAATATTTCATTTTCATTCTTTCTCTCCATTTCTTTTCCTCCCTTTCTTTCTGCTTTTGTCTTTGTGTCTAGATTTCTGTACCTTGCGTACCTCCAGACTGATGGAAAAATCACATGGTGTACCTCCAAACTGATAAAATAAATCACAGATGATCAGGCATTAAACAAGGATATAAATTGTAACAATTCTTTTTCAGATATATTTGTTTTTAATCTCTAGAAATAAAACGCTAGGCAGCCCTGAATTAATGAGTTACTATTTGACAGACTTGAATACTGGTAGTTAACATAGGTCAATCACTCCAGGTCTCATTGTTCTAAAGAAGACATTACAAACAATGCATTTCCCTGACCATGAGAGTAGGTCAAGCTAATCTTTGAGAACATAACTCAGGAATCCAGCACAAACTAAATATGGTGACTCTAGGTATCACGGTTCAGAAGAAGAAGTTATCCTTTATTTTCACTGAGTTGGACAAATCTGACAAAATTTTATCCCAAAACGTTTTTCCTGTATGGAAATCTTTTCTCAGATTTCAGTTAAAGTAACATATATTTGTCAATAAGAATATCATTAAAGGTGAAATATAAGATGTCATTGACGCATATAACAAGTTTTTTGTCTTCAATAACTTACTGTGAGATATAACCTCTGTTTTGACCTGTGCAGGGTCAAGGGCATGTGGGGGTCAAAGGTGCAGGGTCAGAGGTCGCCGTGGATGGTTGTGGTGAGTGCTTTGTTAATTTCTCATCATACCTTCAAAAGAATGCATAAACATGAATGGCTCCACATGGAATCCACTTCTTTTAAAAGCATCCCTTCTTTAACCAACTGAGAAAACACAACAGATACAATTTACACAAGTACATAGCATCAACACTTCATGGGGATATGGTAGATGTTTACTGATAAGTCTGTCTAATGACTGCCTAGGTCCTTTATGTGGGGACATCACTCTCGCTGTCTAATGACTGCCTAGGTCCTTTATGTGGGGACATCACTCTCACTGTCTTATGACTGCCTAGGTCCTATACATGGGGACATCACTCTCACTGTCTTATGACTGCCTAGGTCCTATACATGGGGACATAAATAAATTGTCTTATACTGCCTAGGAAAATATATAATCATATAATCACTGATATATATAAATGTGCCTAGGTCCTTTATGTGGGGACATCACTCTCACTGTTTTATGACTGCCTAGGTCCTTTATGTGGGGACATCACTCTCGCTGTCTAATAACTGCCTAGGTCCTTTATGTGGGGACATCACTCTCACTGTCTTATGACTGCCTAGGTCCTTTATGTGGGGACATCACTTTCACTGTCTTATGACTGCCTAGGTCCTTTATGTGGGGACATCACTCTCACTGTTTTATGACTGCCTAGGTCCTATACATGGGGACATCACTCTCACTGTCCTATAATTAACTAGGCCTGTATAATTAAACTGCTGAGGGAGGTATACATTTGAAGGGATGCTTTGGTTTTTTGTTAACACAGATGATAGAAGACTATTTTCCTGAAGAACAAAACTTGGTCAAAAACATAATAAATAAATTGCTTTATATGTAGGAAAATATATAATCATATAATCAATGATATATATAAATGTGTATAAAAAGTACATACTTGTGTACATGGTCTGGGACGTATATATACTCCATTGGGACTAAGCTGGCAAGCTCCTGTAGGGATCTCACAAATCGTAGCTTGGAGCTGAACTTGGAACTGAAACAATGTTGTGTACAGTAAATACACTGATACATGTGAACTGATGTGAAGGATGATAATATGTTACTGTTGTTAAATGTCAAACAGCTCTGAACATTGTACATTGTTCTCTATCTATATTATAATTACAAATTCTAAACTCTTTTACCCCAAGGTCTGTGGTTTACAGGAAATAAATTTATACTAAATATAGAAATACAATAAGTGTTTTTTGTGTGATTAGAGTCTTTATAAAAGGTTTTACAGAAGATTTTTCCAGCTTCTCAACCCAACATCCATAGCTATACAGCTATACATAAAAGTATCCCAGATCTACAGCTATACATAAAAGTACCCCAGATCTGTAGCTATACATAAAAGTACCCCAGATCTACAGCTATACATAAAAGTACCCCAGATCTACAGCTATACATAAAAGTACCCCAGATCTACAGCTGTACATAAAAGTACCCCAGATCTACAGCTATACATAAAAGTACCCCAGATCTACAGCTATACATAAAAGTACCCCAGATCTGTAGCTATACATTAAAGTACTCCAGATCTGTAGCTGTACATAAAAGTACCCCAGATCTATAGCTATACATAAAAGTACCCCTGATACATAGCTATACACAAGCTTTTGAGAACAGAATATAACCAACACTTGGGTTATACCACTATGTTATGGTTTATAGGGACCGTAGGTGTTAATATTTACCTGATAAATGGCCTGGTCATTATAACAATTGTCTTTAACCAGAGAGTGGGATGTACCAGCAGTAAACCCTTCAGGTTCTTCTTTAACCTAGAAACATTAAATAACCATTTCTATACAGAACAGACACATCAACATGTATTTCTTGATTTTTCCTAAAACTTTTTATTTTTACTACTACCAGACATAGGTCAGTTTGACCTAGATCAACAGACTGTACATTTATTGGGTAGTAGTTCTCTGTGGCGGGTGAAAATGTCCTTCACCTTTCGCCTGGATACTCAAAGGTATGCAGTTGATTGATGAATAAGGGTGAGATTTGATAAGGAAAATCAATGACAACAGACTGGAGGTGAGTTTTTCCACCTGGCTGTGATTGATTCTCCTGAATTGGACTGAACTCAATATATCATTCACCAGTTTGTCCCTGTCTCAACATTTACTGTTACATTATTGAACTGTCTAGAACAAAAGGACAGATCATAACCATACAAGTTAACCTGTTTTTTTATTTCCTTCCTACCTTCTATCTATCATTTGGTAACACTTCTTTAACCAGCTGAAGCTTGGCATCTGTCTGCGTGGTGTGGCACCATGGAAATAAACGATCATGTAGTCCTCGGCAACCAACCGTTCCAGCGTACTGACCACATACCTGTAACACAAAAACGCTGAACACATAAACAAAAATAACAACCACTGTTTTTACCACACGTCTGGTGGTCAGTCAACCATTATATACAAATAGAATCTATTCATTGTCCTAAAGCTATAAACTTGATCTATTTTCAATTCACAACCATTGTAAAACAAGCTACCAGCTTATATCAACCATTTCTGTTGATCCGTGAGGAGATTGGAGTGGTCTGGTGGCCCAGTTGTTACATACTCGTCTTTCACCCAGCCGTCCGGGGTTCAATTCCCAACCAGGTGGGTTTTTCCGGGTACTCAGGTAAACAAGAGTGGTTAATATATAACTTGGAAAACCTTGTTTCACAATTGTTGTAAAATAAAGTTTAAAATTGATTTGAGGATCAGGAGAAACTCTAGTGGTGAGGCAGATAACTACATTTCTTATAATAACCAATTGAGGAATCAAACCCTGGTCGACCAGGTGAGAGGCGAGTGTAATACCAGTGTACCACCCCATCATTGTCCTATACAGGGTTTTCCATAATTTTTATAGTAGTAGGCTGTGTAGTGAAAGTAGGAGGCTGGCCTGCCGTGTACGTGTAGTCGTGTACGGAACATTATTATGGAACTGGATTGGTGTAGGTAGCAAAATGATCAAAGTAGCCGGTCAAATTGGCCGGCGACCGGCTCTTATGGAAAACCCTGCCTATAGTAAGATTAACTACTGGTTTTTCCTGTATTAGCTATAACTTTGTAAATGTCTGGAATTTCAAGCAAAGAATATGTCGACATCGTCAAATATATCAATCAAAAGAATCACAAGTATTTCTTCGTCATTGGATCATACACAGCTTCTTACTGGCCAGGCTTCGGGCATGTGTTTGATAAAGAATGATTTTCAAGGATTCAAGTTCCTCTCTGGGTGTGTCCTACAAATCTTGCTGATGGTAAACAGTCACAATGTGTGTAAGTCTGTCTATACTTACAGGAACAAATTATCCATTATGTAGTTGTAATCCTTCTGACTCCGGTCTGGCAAGTAACACCCGGAAAACACGATTATAGCATTCAGACCATCGCCATAGTAACCTGTAGACAACAGAAAATACTGTTAGAGTATTCAGACAATTGCCATAGTAACATGTAAACAACAGTAAATTCAATTATGGTAGTCAACCATCGCCATAGTAACCTGTAGACAACAGAAAACACTGTTACAGCATTTAGACAATCACCATAGTAACCTGCAGACAACAGAAAATACAATTATGGTAGTCAACCATCGCCATAGTAACCTGTAGACAACAGAAAATACAGTTACAGCATTTAGACAATCACCATAGTAACCTGCAGACAACAGAAAATACTGTTACAGCATTCAGACAATTACCATAGTAACATGAAAACAACAGTAAATACAATTATGGTATTCAACCATCGCCATAGTAACCTGTAGACAGGAGGAATTGACCCTTTTGTCCACCGAAAGGCTGATAGAGTGTAGAGGTGGACATCTGACAAATAAAATAAATAAATGACCGTGTACATCAATAAAGGTTATAGAAATCTATTCTTTGTAAACCACAAAATCTTAAATCTTTCAAATCGTAACCCAGTAATCAGTTAAACATTGACAGCCTCACTAGGGAATATCCTTTGTAGCTATCGCTGGCATTTAAAACTTTAACTCTCAAAAACTGGATTTGCAGAATATGTCACATCAATACCATAAAACATTATATTTGATTAACTTTTCAAAATTATGAACACTTTCGACGATTAACTGATCGAAAATCAGAGATCACTTTCCTTGTAAGAAGTACATGTTATTACAAACAGCCATTGTACATTGTTTACCAAAAAGAAAATGGTCAAAATGTCTGATTAATTATAAGATCTCAAGCCTATAGCATGTACAGAATTTGTTGGAAAGTAACACAGTGAAAATAAGTTTTGTTTCTTGATAAACAATTTAATACTGTGTAGAGTTTGATGCTTTACCTCCATGAGACAAAACCCTCTTGAAGGGTTCGATGACTGTGAGATCAATTTTCTGTTCTCGACCAGAAATTTCAACAAGCCTCCAAAGTCTGGCTTCTTGCCTCTCCTCCTCAGCAGAATATTGTGGGATAGGTTCAGCTGGGCTTTTGATAGGAGTATCGTCTACAAACAATGACATAAAAATAGTTAGATGAAAAGTTTCCAACATTTTCCATTTACAGTCTGGTGTTGTCAATACAAACGGAAAGGGAGACAACTTCATTATTTTTCTTATTATTTTACGAACAAATTCTGAAAGATATTTAAGAAGAAACCTCTTTGATAACCAGGTACATATTCTACAAGATCCCAATTTTTGTCAACAAAAAAGCCTTTTTTAAATGTATAAATGGACTTACTCTCCCACTCAAGTTCCCCAAGGAGTGCAGGGTCAAGGTCACCAATATCCTCGGTCAGAATGTTGTCATTGGCAGCCATTTTCTTTTTCTTCTGAAGGTCATTCAAGTTGGAAGGCCTCACTGAAAATTTTCAAACAGATATAATACACATTCACATCAGATGATCATTTTCCAACAGTTGTCTCCCTTTGAACACAGGGATGGATATACGCCATGTTTTATTAGCCCAGGCACCAAACTTTACTTGCTTTTCACATCATCAGAAAGGTTTAAAAATCTTAAGTATGTTGAGAACCCTAAACAGCTGTTCAGTAGTAGTTTTAAGTTGTATTTTATTTTAAAGCCATGTATTTCTATTGTACCTGAGATTTTATTCACATGTGTATCATCACTTTTATCTACGTCTGACACATAAATACACTGCTTCTTATAGGATGATTTTATCATAAGTAATAAAAACAACACTCAATTTAGAGATAGAAAACATTGGAAAATAGTAACTAAGAAAAAAAAGGAATACAGTAAATTTCTGCTGGGATACAGAGTAAATTTCTGCTGGGATACAGTAAATCCTTGTTGGTGTAAGGTAAATTCCTGTTGGGATAAGGTAAATTTCAAATGGGATACAGTAAATTCCTGTTGGGATACAGTAAATTCCTGTTGAGATACAGTAAATTTCTGCTGGGATACAGTAAATCTTTGTTGGTGTAAGGTAAATTCCTGTTGGAATAAGGTAAATTCCTGTTGGGCTACAGTAAATGTGAACACCACACAGTTACTGTGAACACCATATAGTAACTGGATTTCACTTTTCCTACCTGGCCCTTCTTCTCCTCGACTAGAATCACTGCTATGCCGTGACCTTGACCCTGAAGATTCTGACGAGTCATCGTCATCCTCCTCTTCAGTGGGCGGCATGCCTGGAATGTCGTCATCCTGCCATTCCTCCGAAAATTCAATGCCACGAAGACGATCCTGTAACAATAACAATATTTTATACTGCTATATATGGTAATAAGCCTACCTACAGCCTAATGTAATTCTACAACAATGCTATTCCATTGTACTATAACAAGTCCCCCGAGTAAGTACATTATATACTGGTTTATTGGGCAAATTAACATCACCTACAAATATAAACAACAATTTAAAAGATACATGTAAACTCTTCTCCTAATTTTTTATCTTAAAAATTTAAAAAATTGAAATTGTTATCATGATGATGCGAATGATGAATCCAGATTTAATATAATTCCTTTATGCAAACTGGAGACACAATTCCACCTATATATAGTAATTCTGTTCAAGAGTAAAACAGATTCAGCAGCTGTATCTCACTGATAAGCTCACAGAATCTGATTATGTGATCAAATAAAGATAGTGTTATTGTTAAGGTCGAGTGTGTAAGGTAGTGCTTCAAAGGGGAGGGGGACAGAATAAAGGGATTTATAATCATGTGTTTATAGGCCCCAATGCCTAGATACTTACATGTTTTATAGACCCAAATGCCTAGATACCTACATGTATTTTATAGGCCCCAATGCCTAGATACCTACATGTTTTATAGGCCCCAATGCCTAGATACCTACATGTATTTAACTGGCCCAAATGCCTAGATACCTAAATGTTTATAGGCCCCAATGCCTAGATACCTACATGTTTAATAGACCCAAATGCCTAGATACCTACATGAATTTTATAGGCCCCAATGCCTCGATACCTACATGTTTTATAGACCCAAATGTCTAGATACCTACATGTATTTTATAAGCCTCAATGCCTAGATACCTAAATGTTTTATAGGCCCCAATGTCTAGATACCTACATGTTTTATAGACACAAATGCCTAGATACCTACATGTATTTTATAAGCCTCAATGCCTAGATACCTAAATGTTTTATAGGCCCCTATGCCTAGATACCTACATGATTTTATAGGACCCAATACATAGATACCTACATGTAAATTTAATAGGTCCCAATGCCTAGATACCTACATGCTTTTATAGGCCCCTATGCCTAGATACCTACATGATTTTATAGGCCCCAATACATAGATACCTACATGTATTTTACAGGCCCCAATTCCTAGATACTTACATGTACTTTATAGGTCCCAATGTCTAGATACCTACATGTATTTTACAGGCCCCAATGCCTAGATACCTTCATGTTTCACAGGCCCCAATGACTAGATACCTACATGTATTTTATAGGTCCCAATGCCTAGATACCTACATGTATTTTACAGGCCCCAATGCCTAGATACCTTCATGTTTCACAGGCCCCAATGACTAGATACCTACATGTATTTTATAGGTCCCAATGCCTAGATACCTACATGTATTTTATAAGCCTCAATGCCTAGATACCTAAATGTTTTATAGGATGCCTAGATACCTGATGCCTAGATACCTAAATGTTTTATAGGCCCCTATGCCTAGATTCATGTTTCACAGGCCCTAGATACCTACATGTATTTTATAGGCCCCAATGCCTAGATACCTACATGTATTTTATAGGCCCCAATGCCTAGATACCTACATGTATTTTACAGGCCCCAATGCCTAGATACATGTATTTTACAGGCCCCATGTTTCATGTATTTTATAGGTCCCAATGCCTAGATACCTACATGTATTTTATAGGCCCCAATGCCTAGATACCTACATGTATTTTATAGGTCCCAATGCCTAGATACCTACATTCCTAGATACCTACATTCCTAGATACCTACATGCCTAGATACCTACAAGTAAATTGTATAGGCTACACACTGTCCTTACATTGTTGGCAGCAGGAAAACCGAAATACCAGCTCTCAGTAAAAAGCAACTTATGTTAGGAATTTCATTAGAGATAATGCTGACATGCTTTATCAGTATGAGTGCATTCCCAATCAGGGTGAAAGTAGGTTTTATCTAGATCTTTGATTCATCAAACTGTGGTAAATGTCCTTAACCTTTGAAGCTTTGCTCGGTTAATTGCAGTAGATACCATTTATCTGTTCATCCTTCCAGTAACAGCTAAATATGTTTCATGTTTTGTTATCTAAATTAATGTAATGAACAATTCACAAATTAAAGTAGATATCTTTTGTTTCTTAAAATACCACCGGGTATCCTACAAAGATCTTTATGCGAGGTTCTTTAAATTGACCTAAATATCAAAATAAACATCACATTACCATGCAATAAATGTTCGATATTTATCTTTAGCTCAAAAATGATAGCGTGGTATATAATTAATCAAAAAGATGTCACAAGTGTCAATTCTGTATGTAGACTAGATAAATACATCACCGTACCTACGTGGAAATAAGCTTATGCCTGATAATAAGTCCATGTCTGGAAATAAGCCCACTCATTTTTACTGGTTAGTTCTTAATTGCCTTGTAATATAACCAGCCTTTGACAATTAGACAATGATGAAGTGTTGGACCCTGGACCTATTAGACAATGATGAAGTGTTGGACCCTGGACCTATTAGACAATGATGAAGTGTTGGACCCTGGACCTTTCAGACAATGAGGAAGTGTTGGACCCTGGACCTATTAGACAATGATGAAGTGTTGGACCCTGGACCTTTCAGACAATGAGGAAGTGTTGGACCCTGGACCTATTAGACAATGATGAAGTGTTGGACCCTGGACCTTTCAGACAATGAGGAAGTGTTGGACCCTGGACCTATTAGACAATGATGAAGTGTTGGACCCTGGACCTTTCAGACAATGAGGAAGTGTTGGACCCTGGACCTATTAGACAATGATGAAGTGTTGGACCCTGGACCTTTCAGACAATGAGGGAGTGTTGGACCCTGGACCTATTAGACAATGATGAAGTGTTGGACCCTGGACCTTTCAGACAATGAGGAAGTGTTGGACCCTGGACCTATTAGACAATGATGAAGTGTTGGACCCTGGACCTTTCAGACAATGAGGAATTGTTGGATCCAGGACCTATTAGACAATGAGGAAATGTTGGACCCTGGACCTATTGTTCATTAAAGAACAATAATTCATTTCACTTTTTATTTTTTAACTTTATATGTAGCTAATTATACCTTGGTATTTGTTGTCATGGATACGGCTGGTTTTCCCTGATTCCTATTCTCCTGCCTCCATGTTTTAGATGTTTGTATGTCTGGACTGTCAACAGCAACCTTGACCTGAAACATGAAGGTTATATAAATATATGTAGGTCAAGGTTTTTTGGTTGGGTCATAGAGTACAAACTATACTTCTGACTGATAAATTTGTATATTCATACCTGAATATTAAATGGAATGAAACCTGAATATGAATGGAACAAGTTTTAGAATTTTTTGAAATCAGCAAGCAACTCGATACCATATTTTTTTCAATGAGATGAAACTGAAACAAAGATCTGTTTATAATCTGCTAAACCATTTTGGAAAACACTGGAGAAAATGTTCTTTCCCACATTACATCTGATGTCATCCTTGCTCTTTATCTATTTATTCTATTGAGACATCAAATCATATACTAAATGTCATCAATTTCTGACGCCATTTCATCACCAAATGCTGAGGTTAAGAGAGGTCATTTAACACGAGTTTTCACGCATGGGTGTATACTGTAAAAAAGATCCATTTTTGTGGGGCCTAGATTTTGTGGTTTTCCCAAAATGTACACTTTTATTTTATTGGCAACTGATTTTGCAAAAAGAAATCTTGCTCTTGTAATTCGCTATCACTGTAATCCAGGACATCTTTTAAAATTATTTTAAGGATGCATAAATTCATGGATTAAGATCTAGGGTAACCATTAATTCAATGAGTATAAATACCCACCAAAATGAATACTTCTACAATATTTACTGAATAGCAAAACAATCATGTGATAGACAACAACAGGTTGTTGTTTTTATTGTTGTGACACGACATGGAATTAAGCATGTAAACAAACAATAATGTGCTACAGCAACTCAAACCGGCATTTATATATATTTACTTATAAAATGATGGTCAGGAATTTTATAATCTGTGACACCAACTTCTCACTGAGTGAAAGTTGTACCCATTCTTCAGTAACAAACCACAAAAATAAAATATGGAAAATAGGAAATCAGATGTAAGTATAATGCATAATTGTGTGATAACCATGAAAATGTTTAAATGTTGTCTTGGGTTTAAAAACAAAGAGGACAGTTCCCATAGATATATGGTATTCCCATGGATCAATCTAAAATTTGAGGAATACTACTTCTTGTGGGAGAAGGGAATTTGGGAGTTATTTTGAGAAATGAATGAATACTTGTCAGTCCTTTTGGTCATAATTCACAAGCAGGACAGAGTAAATTTTATGACATACATTACAAGAATAAAATATAAAACAAGGTTAGATAGATATTTATTCTTGATTTTTATGATTTGAAGACATTTTAGGTGAAAATATAACAATTAGTTCTGTTTTGGGGAAATTTTCCAGTGTTTTCAGTTCATTTTCTTTATAGGAGATTTGTTTGTATTTCGATGGGAAAACACACCACAAGGGGGAATACAGTAGAATTTGTCTAAAGTATTCCCTGATTCAGTATAGGTACAGACAGTGAAAGTACCCATAGACTTAAACTCCTATCATAAGCAGCCTCCAGGGAGCGACTGAGATGTACCACAAATCTGAAGCTCACTCATATAAAACAGTGATTAATACTTAATACTGTAGCTGTATAAAAGGCCAAACACTGAAATACAGTCATAAATATCATCTCAGGAGATTTTCATGTACTTCAAAATCTGTCTTTTTATTTGCATTTATGAAACAATGAGATGTCTACCATAAACCAGGTGATATACAATAGGTGATTATATATGGTTTCTCAGTTCTCAAATTTTACAGGATCATTCCCAAATATGTTTTATTTGATCTAATGACACTGAGGTCAATAAATCACTGTTCCGCCATTTCAACTCTTGTATCTCATTGTGACCCAATCTTACGTACCAAGGGAGTCTTCTTATCTAACCTGTAACAACAGGCCCTGGGGGCTCACACAATGTCTCTGACAGAGGGGTGGGCTTATTATCAGACATGGGCTTACTATTGGATACATACGGTACTTTAAGTTTACAGATATCATGCCTTAGGAATTTGACATTTCCAGTTACAAACAACATGGCTGCCATATTCAAACAAAATAAAAGGCTGATTCAACATATCAGCACTCGCAAAATTAAAGTTGTTTAGAAATAAATTCATATCTTAAAATTCTTATATTGTATAAATTCTTTGAGATTACATGCCAGCATGCCAATCTGCCTCTATTGGTCAGGCGTGCATCATCAGATTGGCACCTACTGGTATAAATTTGTTGATGGCTGTTATCAACATAATTTGATAAATACTAAGTTAGTGCTATTTATATGTTCTGTACAGAAAGTGAGCAGGATGTTAAACATCGCTGATATTAAAACACCTAGAGCTAGTTAATAACGTTGTGTATGATACATACAGAACCAGAGCAATATAACGCTTGTACAGTAATTAAATCATATTCTATAGTAGGGATTGGACAAGTATAATAAGCTATAATCAGGGTTAATTTGGAGTTTGTATTCGGCTGATACTGCCATTTGATGTCACACATAAACTCATACTTACATAGTTCCTCAAATATCTTTATATCCAATATTTACTATGAAATCATTCATTTCTCTTCGGGTTTTATTTTCAGTGATTTCCTGGGTATATGTACACAAAATAAATTAGTGTAAGTAGATTTATTGAGATACAGTTATCTGCCAAATCAAGTCTCCACAGGAATAGTATGTTCCTTTTTTTGTTTGAAAAACCACGAAAATTGTGCCCCACAGAAATGTATGCTTTTACAGTACACATTATTAGTAAGTACTGGGAAACAGTAGCAAGCAGCTTCATTAAAATTTCTCTATTGAGTTTTAGATTTATCCTCCCAACACCTTTTTTGAGTTATAATGTTCTGCAGAAATCTTTATTCCTAACTATAATGTTCTACAGAAATCTGTATTTCTAACTATAATGTTCTACAGAAATCTTTACTCCTAACTATAATGTTCTACAGAAATCTGTATTCCTAACTATAATGTTCTACAGAAATCTTTACTCCTAACTATAATGTTCTACAGAAATCTTTACTCCTAACTATAATGTTCTACAGAAATCTTTACTCCTAACTATAATGTTCTACAGAAATCTTTACTCCTAACTACATGTTCTACAGAAATCTGTATTCCTAACTATAATGTTCTACAGAAATCTGTATTCCTAACTATAATGTTCTACAGAAATCTGTATTCCTAACTATAATGTTCTACAGAAATCTGTATTCCTAACTATAATGTTCTACAGAAATCAGTATTCCTAACTATAATGTTCTACAGAAATCTGTATTCCTAACTATAATGTTCTACAGAAATCTGTATTCCTAACTATAATGTTCTACAGAAATCTTTACTCCTAACTATAATGTTCTACAGAAATCTTTACTCCTAACTACAATGTTCTACAGCAATCTGTATTCCTAACTACAATGTTCTACAGCAATCTGTATTCCTAACTATAATGTTCTACAGCAATCTGTATTCCTAACTATAATGTTCTACAGAAATCTGTATTCCTAACTATAATGTTCTACAGAAATCTTTATTCCTAACTATAATGTTCTACAGAAATCTGTATTCCTAACTATAATGTTCTACAGAAATCTGTATTCCTAACTATAATGTTCTACAAAAATCTGTATTCCTAACTACAATGTTCTACAGCAATCTGTATTCCTAACTATAATGTTCTACAGCAATCTGTATTCCTAACTATAATGTTCTACAGAAATCTGTATTCCTAACTATAATGTACTGTAGAAATCTTTATTCCTAACTATAATGTTCTACAGATATCTGTATTCCTAACTATAATGTTCTACAGAAATCTTTACTCCTAACTATAATGTTCTACAGAAATCTTTACTCCTAACTATAATGTTCTACAGAAATCTTTACTCCTAACTATAATGTTCTACAGAAATCTTTACTCCTAACTATAATGTTCTACAGAAATCTGTATTCCTAACTATAATGTTCTACAGAAATCTTTAGAAATCTTTATTCCTAACTATAATGTTCTACAGAAATCTGTATTCCTAACTATAATGTTCTACAGAAATCTTTACTCCTAACTATAATGTTCTACAGAAATCTGTATTCCTAACTATAATGTACTGTAGAAATCTTTATTCCTAACTATAATGTTCTACAGATATCTGTATTCCTAACTATAATGTTCTACAGAAATCTGTATTCCTAACTATAATGTTCTACAGAAATCTGTATTCCTAACTATAATGTTCTACAGAATCTGTATTCCTAACTATAATGTTCTACAGAAATCTGTATTCCTAACTATAATGTACTACAGAAATCTGTATTCCTAATTATAATGTTCTACAGAAATCTGTATTCCTAACTATAATGTACTGTAGAAATCTTTATTCCTAACTATAATGTTCTACAGATATTTGTATTCCTAATTCATGATCAATTTTCCTCCCAACCCATCCATTATTGCCACTTAAAACTTTCTGACTTTAAAATCCACTAAACGTTAATATGAAATTTTTCTTATCCTTATAACATATGTTTTAGGACACGTTGTAGGTGACTAGACAGAACAAGACTGAAGTATTTCCCTACAGGAAACTGGTGAAGTGGCTGTCCTTGACCAAATGAATAGACCGGAACTTTATCCCCACAATAGCACATCGAAAAATGTACGATTATAACGACATTGAGGTTGATGTCCTCAATTAAAGTATTTCCCCGAATGTCTGGACACGCTAACAACATCGAGGTTGGTGTCCCTATATAAAATCCCTGGTACTAACTATTGTCTATTTTCCTTTCTCCTGACTGATACAATACCAAGCCTATCTGACAATGATTCCCAAACTCTTGTGATGTGCTTTTAGTAATGATAATTCTGCTAACTATGAACTATGAACAGTAAAACATATGGATGTGCTTGTTACATGGTATGTAGTATCAAAACAGCACACAGAAGTAATTTATTCTCTCAAAAAAAGATAACCAAACTTTTCTGTAATTTTCAATACTTTCAAATTTTCAGTGTATCCAAGGAAACAAAAATTGTGAAAAAAAAATAAAACTGAAAA